TTGCCAGTGTGCTGCTCGTTGGGCCATTGTCGGCGCCAGACCTTCACCAGCTCAGTGGGCTTGTAGAGTCTCAAAGGTTGTCGCACAGAGGTGTTGTTGAGGCGAGTCAGGATGCGCTTGGCACGGGTGGCACGCGCAATGTCTTCGGCTCTTTGTCGAGCCGTGACTCCTTCTCCGCGGCGTAGGAGAGTTGTATGTTGAGCAAGTTGCAAAAGTCCTGAACCTTCTGACTGGAGAAGCTCTTGGCGTTGTCCAGGATCAAGATGTCTGGCTTGGGTTTGTCAGACAACCAGCGCTCGGAGAATGCCTTGATCACGGCTTCGGCATTCTCACTTCTCATTTCCAGGAAGTTGTACTCTAGAAGCGGCTGCACCACCCGAAGCTTTGTGGCCAAGTCCACGAAGACAATGAACTTGATTTTCCGGGTTGTACCAGGCACCTCCCATTCTGCAGCATCGTCGCCAACGGCCTCCCAGGCCTTATACATAGCGTGTGTAGCTGCTGGTGGAATCTGACCACTGCTAGTACCACCAGGTCGCAGGCTTTCGCAGATGTCGCACTTGAACTGTTTGGCCGCAGCAATCTGCCAGGGTTCATAGCCAGCCTCCTCAAAGAGGCGGACCAAATTGCGCGTCGCTGGATGGCCGGCAGCCTTGTGGAACTTGAGAATCTTCAGGCGCCAGTTCTCCTGATCGTGGGGAGAGATGCCAGCGTCAGCTGCGATCTGGCTGGACACATCGCCGTTGTTGATCGGAGGTGCTTGATGATCACGTGGCAGGTTGTGAGGTTCGTCATCTGGTCGTAGTACTGGAGGTTCCCGACTGGATCGTGGAATTGAGGTTTGCGGTGACGCTGGTGGGTTGTAGAGCTCGTCGTTGATCTCCGGTTCATAGTCGGAGTCACCGCTGACATGCGCCGGTAGCCTCTCAGTAGATTCCCGCATATCTTCGCCCGCCATGACGTAGTCCTTCTGCATCATCAAGCGAACGTGCCGTTCAGGAACAAGACGATGTAGCCAGTGGCGTACCCAGGCTTGTATCAGCCTCCATGGGTAGTACGCGCTGCGAGCCGTCTCAGCTCCCTCAATGGGACCATGGACATGACCTCCCGGACAAAGCTTCGTCTTGAATGACTGGGCAAAGTTTTCATCCGTAGTTTGGATGCGCCACTTCTTGTGCAAGGGCGCGCCGTCCTTGTTGACCATGCCGTAGTTGCAGCCGTCAATGCGACAGGGTAGCCAGGGAAGTCCACGGCTGTGTAGCCCATCTTGTAGCTGCACCATAGGTTGTTGTGACCAACCAGTACATGGATGTGTCCACTCCCAGTAGACGTCAGTGTCGGGGTAGAGCTCAACGGTCTCCAGGATGAAGCCCTTGGCCTGTCGCATCATACGCCGGTCTTTTCGACGCAGGTCCTCAAGACGCTCCTTGCGCTCGGGAGTGTTATAGTTGACAGATACCCAGTTGCAAAAGTGGGTGCAAGGAAGCGAGAACCAGAGCTTCTTGGGCTTATGAACATCTCGAAGTACCCGAAGGCGTCTCCAGGTATCTGGCTTGAAGAGGTCATAGCCCTCGCTCAGGTTGATACGCCGGGCGATCAAGTGCCGATCCAGGATGGCCTGTGACAGCCAGCTCTCCGGCGCACACGCAAATTCCCATAGAAAGTCGCCCTTGAGGTGGTTCTCCTTGTGCATGTTCATGATAAGACTCGAAGTCGCCGCAGTCATGAGAACGGACAGCTGCATCAGCTTGTGGCCCACCCGTAGCGGAAGTGGATGACGGTGAGGTCCATCTTTCAGGCCGCCTCCTCGACATTCTCCATATGAGCTGATGTTGCGCTCTTCCGGGACAGGATCGTGGACATGAGCTCGGCCTTCTCCTGTTCGGTGAGATGATCCAGATCCTGAGCCGTACACTGGCTCCAGCTGGCGTTGGACGACTCCTCCGCATAGCCCTTCGTCATGGACGGCTTCGTGATGGTGTTCACCGTGGTCTTGTGGGAGTGCTTGTCGTGCTCCTTTATGACCGCCTTGAGCTTTTCCTCGGCAGCGATCTTCTCGACCATGGCCTTCATGATGTTGGCCGTCGGTTTGGCACCCTCCATGAGCACCTGAAGTCCGTTGAGAGCCTTCTGGATGATGGCCGGATTTGGGTTCTGTGTGCTCATGCCAGCAGATCCCTTCCTGGGCACATACTCCAGGCGAAGGTCGCAGATCGCACAGTGGGTCCATTGACCGTGAGGGTTTGACTTGGGCTGGTCCGCCAGATGCCTTTGAAAGCATGGCCACTGATCCTTGGCTCGTGGATCCCGAGGGTCGTAGGTGACCTTGCGCTCCAGATCGAATGGTCGAGCTTTCTCCTTGGCCGGAGTGCTCATCTTGATAGCGTGCACGATGCCCTCCGCTTCCTGGGTGGTCGGAACGGTCATGGGAGTTCGGCTCATGGTCAGCACACAGAGGAGTCGATGCACTAGGGGCAGATGTCACAGTGGACATGAGCTTGTCGCTGAGCCAGGCCGGCACGGCACATCCGTTGACAGTCAACTTGTGATGATACAGCTCAAGCAACTTGCGATGGTCACGGTTGCTCGATGTAGTTGTGGGACTGGGGTGTGACCTCAAAATGTGAGTTCCAAGTGTGTGCATCTCCATGGTCATGGTGGCCTGTGAGTTCTGAGGTGGGATGATGCGAACTGAAACATGCCCGTCGGCGATGCTACATCCCTCGGTGAGGAAGTAAACAAGGTCAACCAGGAAATGGCCCTTGGCATTCTTGGATAACTGGTATGGTTGGGGGTTCTCCTCGAGGGCATTGATTGCGTGGCCTTCAGCAGGATCCACCACCATGCCAACACCGTCCTGACCGGCATGCGACATACCAACAAGGACTGGGACCAGCATGTCGTCCTTGTTGAACCACTGTTCCTTGACACCCGGGGGATCCTGTAACGAATAAACATGGAAGGTCTTCCGATTTCCCGACGCTGACGAGGAAATACTAACCTTGTGAAGAGCCTGCCCCCACTTGCCGCTGCCGTAGCGAAAGTATGGCCGCGAGCTTCGGTCAATCACAATCTCTGCCTGACGGTCTTGTGCCAAGACGGCCGAAATCAGCCCTTGAACGCTTGCATCGGGCGCTGCACTTGCAGTAGCTCCGCAGTCAAGCATGCCGGTTCCCGGCGGGTGGTTGCTACTGGTGACTACGGGGTTCAGGTCCATCATTTGCAAGCCGTACAGGTTGACATTGCCGGACATGGAGTGCGTGGATTTGCCCTTGGACTTGCCGGCGCCCTTGTACAACCAGTAGACGTCGGCGTCGCTCATCATAGCACTTTTGTTCTTGCCCTTGCGACCTTTGCCCTTGCCGATGGCATAAGCGTCGTACTCATAGTCAATGGGCGTTGGCAAACTTGCCCTTGCCCTTGGACTTCGCACCATAGTGTCCAGGGTGACGACGATCAGGGCATTCGCGGGCCATGTGAGGTCCACCACAAATGAAACAGCCGCTGTCCTTGCCCTTGCCCTTGCTGACATTCGAAGAGCCGAAGCCTCGATCGCGTCGTAGAGCAGCTGTAGCACGTTGAGCGTCGGCCCATGTACGTTGAGCTTCGGCAGCAAGCTGCTCCGCGATCTTCTCCGCACGCATAGTTTCATTGACATGCTCCTGTTCCTCCGGGGTGAGGGCATGAGCTTCCATGGCATCGTCTGCAACGTTGTCTGGGTCATTCTCAGAGTGGTGTGACCAGTCTTCGGTCCAAGCTGCATCCCACCAATCGTGAGATGCCCAGGAGGACCAATCATCTGACCAATCGTCGTCTTCAACGTAGGCAACGTCGTGGTACATGTTGTTGTTGTACTGGGAGTGATGGTTGCCCTTGCGGGGTATGAACATCTGGTCGTCCCACAAGGTCTGTAGGGCGCGAGCAACAGCGTGGTAGTCCAAGCTATTTGACGTAGCCGTGAGAATGTCCCGCTTCTCCTCGTGATTAAGAGATGCAGCTTGTAGTAGCCGCCAACCTCGAAGAACGCCTAAAATGAAGGAGTCAGCGAGGGACATCCCCGTCTCATCAACACCAGCCCCGTTCTCCCACGTTGCCGGCAGGGTTGGCAGAGTCGCTGTTTCGGCTGGAGAACGTGCCTGATTACCTCCTTCACGGGGTGGAGCATCTCCGGCAGGTTCTGCTGGTGCATCTGCTTCAGAAGGATCTCCATCATGTTCAGGAACCTCATAGTCCCAACCATCCCAGCCGTCCCACCATTCATCTTCCTCAATGACAGGTGGGAGGCCAAAGTCTCGCTGGTCCTCGCTGATGCCCTTTTGCTCCTGAGCAAGGCGACTAAGGGCCTCCGTGAACTCCTCATGGACGAGTGTCTCCCGGACCAAGAAGGTGGCAATGTCTTCTCCATGATGACGGCGGAACTTGAAGTACTGGGCCATGATGGCCGCCGTGTTGGGTAGATTACGTCTGACTAATGGTGAGGCTGCTAGGCGTTGTAGTAGTCGAAGCGTTCCGTCCTGGCAGTCAAACTGGATTTGCGACCAAGACATAGCCAGTAGCCGAGCTGGACCACTGAGCCTAGCAATCAGTTTGGTGGCCACATGCCTTCGCTTGTGCACAGGAGTGGCCTGAACGAACCAACTGACCTCACGGGTGTAGCGGCGCCAAGTCTTGGCTTGACCATCCCAAGCAGGTACATGGCCGCTGTCTCTCGAGTCCATGATGACGGCAAAATGCAGTCAGTGGAAAACTGGAAGAAATTGGGCTCACCACAGAAGTAGGCCTTGTCCGTCCCGAATTGTGACGTGGGGCTTCGCGAGCACCAAAATGCAAGGCGAGGCCGAGGATCGTTACCGCTCCGCTACCAATGCAACGGATCCAAAGGCGCAGCCAGAGCGCCAGATCTGTTTTCCTCTCAGGGTCTCAGCGACCCGTCCATGCCATGTCTGCGCTCACTAGAGCGGGACTGAGTGAAGAAAAGGGGCCCCTCTCCTTGAGTGGTGATGCCGGCAGATGAGGCGATCAACTGACTGTACAAGTCGCAGTATCCTTAAAGGAGAAGGAGGTGCGAGGGCTCGTTCGGTTTTTCTTGGTTCCAGCCTCAACTGTTTCCCTGGGAACCAGCAACCCTGGGGTCCAAACCCCCATTAAACCAAAGGCGGCTCATATTTCGCCATCACTGTTGACCCTTCAAGATTGTCATCATCCAAATTGGGTCCTTGCCATTTTTTCCTCAATGGGCATCGGTTGAACCCTAAATGCACGGTAACCAAAGGAGAAGTAAAATGGAGGATTCCTTGGGTTTTTCTTGGTTCCAACCTCAACTCCTTCCCTGAGCACCAGCCTTCGGCAACCAAAGAGGAATTCCTTCGGCTTCGCAGCGTCAGGACTATCTCACCTGCGTGGACGTCTGCTGGCCGAAGGCTCTTAGCGCCGCAGCAGAGCCCCGGCGAAGGAACTGCAAGAGTGCCCGGAAGTCGTCTTCCATTTGCTGAAATGGCTATGAATTTGAATTAGGGACCCTTTGGTGCACATCATTCAGCTGGAAATTTGTGTCCACTAACCAAAATTTCAGGAGGTTCCCGATTAAAATTCATGGCCAAATGAAGATTTGTTTATCTTCTCCTGTTGGTTTTAAAGGGAATTTATCACTGTCCGGAAATATGTTTTATTTTTTCCCGGGGCCTTAAGCAAATGGAGGTCGTATATCCTCACTAGCCTATTGAACGTGGAATTCGAGGGGTGATTTCTGGAGTTCCACTCACCCATGTCCCTTGACTCCTTGACTTCACGGACATTCGTAACTTTTTGGGTTTGGGTGCCATTTTAGTGGTAAATAACAAACTTTGGGTCACTTTGTTGGGATCCAATCCACTCGTTCGGGAGTGAGTCATGTATGGTGAAAACCGCTTCGCACGGTGGGAACCAGTATTCACAGGTTCCTGTTTTCTCTGGTGTGAGGCGCGGAGAATTTGGTCATGGGGTTTGTCTCCAAGCGGGACCCGAGGAACATTTTCCAAAGGGCGGGGGAAATCCTGGGTCTGCCGAGGAAAACAACACCCCAAAACGGGTTCCCTCAAAAAGAGAGAGCCACTTGCATATAATGTTGGCCCCTTATTAATCAACGTGGGGAATCATTACTTTTGGAGGGGGCCCCCACCCTGGCTGATTCCTGCAAACCTGCAGGCTTGAAAATTGACTCCTCTGTCACTGAGCTAACTGGCTAGTAACTAGTAGCAAGTTTCCAGCCTTCCACCGGCAGTCCTCCAAGCAAGGATGGTTCATGAGCGCGTCGGCTGTGCACGCCGAGCCCCCTAACCTGCTGACCCTTGCGTAAAAAAAGAAGAACAAGAAAACCGGTTCCCCAATGCAGGTCTCGTCTGTGCACGGCCCGTAATCTGCAGACCCAGCACCTTCCTGGTCTTTGCCGAGGCCATCCCAGTCTCTGTGCAAGGGATGCTGGAAAGCCCGGATGCTGCGGGAATGTCGGGGATGGTGAGATGTTCTCGGGGATGCCGGCCACTTCCGGGTGCGATTTGCACTGTCTTTGCAGTGTCTTTTGAAGGTTGGACCACGTGGCATCAGGAGCCCGTCGAAAGGCCAGGGATGTCGGGAATGTTTTGGGGTCCAAATGTGTGGGCTGGCCTGCGTCCGGGTGATGCGGAGAAGCTTGTGGTGCAACAAAACACGTCAGCGCTATACCCAGGTAGGTAGGGTTGCCCTCGCTCTTCGAGCTCGAAGACACGCAGCGCAGCAGTCCAGCGTGTCCTTTCTATTTGCCATAAACCATGTTGGTTGGAATCCCGTTTTTGAGCCAGAGACTCAGAGACTCCCGTCCTTGCAAGCCTGCAAACATGATACGATGATGCGTTTCACTTTGCGCTGGTACCGGAGCCTGTTCTGGTGGTTTATTGGCAAAAGCCACCGGGCAAACCCCAACGCCCTGGGGCGGGGGGTCCCGGGCGGTTGGGGGGAGAGAAGCTCGCGCCGAGGATGGCGCGGTGTTCCTGTGGAGCTTGGAGGAGGGCACCGGCATTGAACTGGTGCCCCCCGAGGACCCGGGAAGAACAACCCGCGGCAACAGAAAACCGAGGGGGGGCCATTCGGTTTGGGTGGGGAATGTTGGCAGATGTTCATCAGCCCCCAGTTTATTCAGGGGGTAGGGGGGTGTGTTTTTCTCCAAAAGTGGGCCTAAATTCAGGGACACGCCCTATTTAATCTGGGGTCAACATTCGGCTGAAATACACCGGTACATGGCCAACAGCCCAGTTTCGGTGTTGCACCTTAGCCCAGAGAAGGACAAGTCTTGCAGGACGCCACCATCTTTTGCTCCCTGGGTGTTTGGATCATTTTGGTGTTAAATTGCCCATCCGCTCCTGCGGAACGTTAGGCGTTCCTTAGTATAAACTTAAGAGGGTACCCTTCGAATGGTTTTCTGGTTCAAAGGGCACTGACGACGAGTTGTCTGCCCTGGAAGCCAATAAGGAACCCTAAGGGCAAGGCTGTAAATTCAGGTGCGCCAGGAGTTTGATGTTTTTTTGTTTTTTGTTTTTTTTGCCGAAGCAAGTCCAAGGGGGAAGGGCATCATTGTGGGTGTCCTCCTCTGGTTGATTGGTTTCTCCAAGCGAGCTCGTTCTAAAATATGCAGGCTGGCTGCAACTATTTTTCCAAACATGTTTATGTACCCGAGCGATGTGAAGAATTAAAAGCGGCCGCACCCATTTATGCTTGGGATACTCCCTTACTAACCTTCACTTACCCGGGTGTTGATTGTATGTCAAGCGACTTGTTATGGGAGGTTCCCGCTGTACTGGCGCTGGAAATAAGTTCTTTCTCATAAATCAAGCTGGGCACAGGTAAACCAAAGAAATCGATTTGGCACCAGATGCAATTCCGGGCTCGCCGATTCTGAGCTCACCATGGTCCTGTATTTGGGGTTCTTTGTCCCGGGTCAGGTACTTCCACTTGCCCTTTTGATCCCAATAGGCAATCCTCAAGCGTCAGATTAACGTGCAGAATTTGATCCAGAGTGAGGAAAGTATCGGTAGAGTTGTCGAGACTCACTTGCGTGTTCGGCCAAGTTAGTAGAGTGAGTTCCAGACTGACTTGTTGTTTGAACTTCTAAGTACCCCAAAGTAAAAAAAAAAAAAAAACAAGATCAATCTTCCTGGCCCCAAATGACCATGGTTACCTTTTCCCGTTTAGTGAAAGTCCAATCCTTTTTCGGTGGTTTGCCGCAAAAGTCATCCCATGTTCCCGGCACGTGCTGTTCAAACATCCCATGTTTTTGGACCCCTGGGTGATCGGCTATCTCAGGATAAGATCAGGAGAACCCCCGGTTTGGTCTCCCGGAGCTTGTGATCCTGAAAGCTACCCTCTTGGTTTTTTTGGGGGATTCAAACCACCACTCTAGGGCTGGATTCCTGGTCCATTCTGTTCAACCATGGTTCTTTTCAAAAACCGGATCTTTTTTTCTTTTCTTTTCTAAAATTCTGGAGGTTTTCTAGAAACAGTTTCCCTGTAAAATGAACAAAAAGAGGAGGGTTCCCCCCCTTTGGGTGTCCTCCCCTTCACGTAACTCCTTGCGATCCTGACCGAAATCAGAGAGGACTTTAAAGGCTTCAAAGGCCTCTTGCAGGACGGGTGTTGCAGACTTGGCTTCCTTTTGAGAGGATTTTCAACTCTTTAAAGGCCTCTTGGTGTCACAAGAGCGGGTGCAGACTTTGCTGTTTTTCCCCTGGTTTCAACTGGAATTAATTTCACGACTGGATTTGCGTGTTGTTTTCCCTGCAGACTGGGTTTGTTGGGATACGTTGGGATCCAGATCCTTAGGGTTCGCGCTCGTTGGCAATTGCACACGTAGGTTGTAATTGACGTGGTCACGACGAAGTAAGATACAATGCCTAAATCATGAAGCAACTGTGTTTCTTCTTCTTTTTCAATGTAGCTTGGTTTGGAAGTGCCCACCGGCCCTGTTCGAATTTATTAGGCCTTGATAGTATTCCTCAGTACGACTTTTAACCGTCTCGCATTTGGCACATGACTGTTTCCTTGCCAAATAAGAAGAGATCAACGATCAGCCCAGCAATGCTCCAAGGAGCGTGCCTAACCTTTTGACAGTTGTCAGCTTCCGTGCTAAAATATCAGCAAGCTCAGTGCCCTGCTCAACGTGCCAGGAGCTGCCTGCCAGCTGCATTCGGACACTGAAGGCGGACTGGCATGACAAGAAGCTGGCCGTCTCCGGCAACGACGACGGCGCGCTCGAGCGCTTGAGCGCTTTCGCCCTCGCGCTCGCGCTTTTTGGGGACCCGGACGGGTTGGGTCCATAAAAGCGCTTGCATGTTGAGGGGCCCAGTCTCAAAATTTCTTTGGAGGGCGCGAAACCTCTTTAGACCGAGGATGTCACTTTGATAGAACCACACACCACCCGCCCCCCAAGACCCCCAGCCGCTCCCGATTATTAGTAGCAAATCTGCCTGATTCAAGCAAGCAAGGCCCTATACCTTGGGGTGGTCTTGGAAAGGTGATCTGTAGTGTCCTTGAGTAACGCGTGAGAGTCGTCAAGGAAAGGAATGGGGGCTTTTGATTGAGGACTTGCGCCTTTTGATTGAGGATGTACGCATTTTGAGCAACACAGGTCTGAGGCTGTCGAGTGTTTTAGTTCAGTCTTAGCACATCGCAGGATGCATCCGAGGACCACAAGCAGTGATTCCCCTTGGGTTGTGAACATTTTGGGGAGGGATTCCTCTTGGTACGGTCCTCCTTGGCTCTGGGAAGTAGCGTTTCAGGGCCACTTTCTGTGAAACCCCCTAAGTGATAAGCTAGTCATGGGCATTAGCCAGGTTGGTATCACAGATTTCGGGTCATTCTCCACAACTATGGTAATGCCGACGCCTGATTAAAACCCCCAGTGTGGGGCCCCTTTTAGTGGGGGCTCCTTCTAGCGGGAATTCTCCTGCTCCAAGTTGTTGATTCATGTCTGGGTGGCTTGTGTTTTTTGTCTCCTTTTTTTGTGGACATCAAGAATCAAGAGGGACAGCCACGTTTTCGTTGGGTTCAAGTCCTATTTTAAGACACACCTGTACTGTAGAAGTCGGCTTTTGGTGGAGGTTCAGTCTCACTGTTCGAGAGCAAGATATCACGAGTGGACATGCCAACGTTGGCTTCCCCTTAAGCTCCACAAGGCGGTAGAAAGTCCAGGTTTATTTCTAGAAGCCCCCAATCATCTTCAGCCTTCGGAGCACATTGGCAGTAGAGAAGCATACCAATTTGTTTTCATGCTTATAAGTACGGGCGTGTCACGAGTGTTTTGCATGGGGCCCACTTTGGAATGACACAAAGGGGCTATTCCTTAACCATGATGGGACTATAGTGAGTCCAATGCAAACCAGTTCTGCCCACCATGAAAACTGCCAGGACCTTGCAGGTGGGTTCCTCATGCGCACGCTGTCGTGTGGTCGTGTGATCTCCGCGCAGGTTACTTGGTGATCTGGAACCTTGTCACACAGGAGGCCGAGAGCATCCTGAACTGTGCCTGTCCCAGTGGCTGGCTGGGTGTCGAACCTGGGGACCCGACCCCCCCCCCCCCACCCTTAGACCATGTGGCACCATTCCCACACGGTCTAATCATGGTTGGTTGCACTCAAGGGAATATGTGCCGTCAACTTTTGCCCTGGTGCAACACTTTTGCCTAAAGATTAGGTGGCCTTCATGTTCCATGCTAACCTGCAAATAGTTAACCTGCCGGGGGGGTTTTAGTCGCCTGTGATTTTCTGTTGCCGAGCTCCTGTTGGAGGAACGGTTCGTTTGTTCTGCCGATCCACCCTTGAAACAGGGCAACTGGGTTGTGTTGACTGTTTTGTCGGGTGCAGAGTTTGACCCACACTTAGAACAGGCGCCCTCAAATTTTAGGCCTCTGTTGTTGGGCACGGCTGGTGCAAGGAGCAACTAACCTGCAACTAAATAGAGGTGTCGCACGTTGTTCTTTTTTTTTCAAGAACACGACACAAGCACACTCACCATGAGGGGGATCATGTTGAGGGCGCCATGTTTGGCTTTGGGTCCCTTTCAGAGAAAAACGATCAAAGGGACACCCACACCCATTTCGGGCCGTTGCTTTTATTTGAGGGTTATGGAAAGACGGGGATGCCTTGATAAGCTTCTGTTTGCTTCGAAAGGGGAAATCAAAGGGCGCCAGGGTCACGAGTCACGGGTCCAAAATCGAAAGACCTTTTCGGAGACTCCATTTTGTGTGTGTGTGTGTCAAAATAGGGGGCGCCTTGTATCCTGTAGGTTTCCCCGCAAGATGAACAAGGGTTCCAAATCCAAATAGGGCAATGCCGTGTTTAAGATGAAGACCGGCGGCCTGTTCTGTTGATCTATGTCTTTTGCAGAGCAACCGCCATGGCTTGTTCATGGCAGCTCGTCTGGACACCTCAGACTCCGCTCCGGGCAAACCGCGTTTCTCTTGGGAACGAAGCAATGCCGGTTTTCGCGGGGGAAACGCAGGTTGCCCCTGCAAAGAACACGAATCCTAAACGGGGATTGTTCTAAGAATGATTGTATTTGTGCTCCATGCGAATCTGGACAGCAAACAAAAATAGTGGGGGCCATGAGATGTTGACCCTCTTCGGGGACCATTCTTGGCTAAAATGATGAACAAAGACAAGAAATAAATTCCTCCCCCTCTCCCCCTTTGCCCCCTCTCCCCCTTTGCCCCCTTTCCTCCTTTGCCCCCTTTCCCCCCCCCCTCTCCCCCCTCTCCTCCCTCTCCCCCCTCTGCCCCCTCGGCTTTAAGGTTGAACGTTGGCCAAGCTTGACAGGTGTTGAAACCTGTTTAACTGACTTCGGGGCTCATGTCCAGCAAGCACAAATTGAGGGAGCTCCGAATCAAAGTAAGGACATTCCGGGCCATAGAACTCACACAACGAGGCGAGGGATATGTCTGGCAGCATGCTGAAAAACACCCCATGTTTGTCTGAGACGCCCAGCGGATTTCCATGGAAAAAGAAGGGCACCCTTTTTTTGTTGGTTGAGTTTAGAGGGGAACCCTTCCCCCAAAAAAAGAGGAAACAAGGGCACCACTGTGCCACTGGGCGTTTTTTTGCCTGAGCGAAAGGGACCTCAGGAGAGCATTTTCCCTGAGGCAAGGTGGGCATGGTCTGGTGCCTCTGTGCCGACTGGGCCAAGATGCGAATGCTCGTGGGCCACGGGGAGCCTCGGACATTTCACACGGAGGTGTCACGTTTTCGGGGAGTCCCGGAGTTCCGTGGCCTTCCTTTCTCTACCTGTGCCGCTATTGGGGTGGATCTTTAGACTTCAACTTTTTGGATTCCCTCCATATTTCCAATAAAACCAGCAAAAGTTAAACTATTTCCTGGGGAATCTACCAGCACCCAAGCTTTTGGTTTCCCTCAACAACCACAAACAAGGGGTGCCCCCAAAAAAAGACACACAGCCAAAAGGGTGGGTCGGTGCCGCCAGTGCCCTCTGTCAATTCCCTTTCACTGCCAGACTTGGCTCAGGGTTCCGGATTGATGATTGATTTCCCCCCGAGTGGTATTGGAGCATCGCCTTTTGGTCGGCAACTTTGAACTGAGTTTCCTTTTGGGGTGATGTCAAGGGGCAAATTATAGGGAGCCCTGTGGAGGTCGTGGTGCGTCAGTAGGGGAAGGGCGGTCCTTTCTGTCCCAGTCTCGACCCTTGGCGTTGAGAAAAAGTGGGGGTTGTCGGGATCTGCATCAGTTTCGTAGATCTAAGAAACACGAATTCCCACGAGCTCCAAGATTACTTGATGAAAGCTGACCGCACACAAGTGTCTCGATGCATGCCATTGTTGCCCCCAACACAGCTTTTGATGCTACTTGAGCTGCGTGGCGTTCTGGTTAGCCCTACTTTTGAATGCTGGCGACGGAGTTTGGATACGCTGGATCAAATTTGCCCTGCCCATTCTCCCAGAGACTCAGTGGTGACCTAGTTGTTTGCCGTGTTTTTTCCCCCACCCCCTTAAACATTCAAGAGTACTCAACGTAGGTGTCCTTTTGATCGGCTAGCTTGGATAGAAATAGATGACTTAGACAAAACAACAGGAGACGCAACATATTTGTTCCATGTCTTGGGGAAGCAACATTAATAGGACCTCCAGTGAGTTGCGATCCTCGTTTTTAACTTGGGGGGGGTCCCTTTAGAGTCAACTGACCGGCGGATTTTTGTTTGTCCCATTCCATCAAATAGTTTTTTTTGCCTCCCCATTCCGTGGGACGGCTTTGTTTTCGTCGCTTTGGGCGTCGCCGACGAGTTTTACCGGGGGGGGGGGGGGGTCTTGAGCAAGGAGGCGTGAACTACTCGTACCACAAAAGCAGTTCTTTCCCATGGACATCTACTAGAGCTCCAGAAAAGGAATTGATGTGCCTTGAAAGGAGATTGTTTCCGTTCCTGAGGATGGGTATTTCTCGTTTTCGGAGTTCCATGCCTGCTTTGCAGGGTTCACCCCTCGATTGAATGCCTGTGAAGTTGATGTATGTGGGATCACCTCTACCAACAGATTTGGGTTGGAGTCCCTTGTTATTTTCAGGAGCCGTGTCGCGTGCCGTCGGCTCCTGTCGAGTTTTGCTGGGGGAAGCGACTTCCTGCGACTCCCGACTCCCACACTGCGGTTTTTGAACCCGTGCACGAGAGCAGTCAGTGGCAGGATGTCTCGGAGTAAGGTGCGCTAGCGGTTCGTTTTGTTTCGCCTATGAGTGCATCAGCCGGCGCAAGTGCCTCCTTTAACACCACCAAACCTAGAATAGCAACTCTATAAAAGAAAGACACGCCTAAGTAAAGGCACACCAACAGGACACACCTTTTAGTTTCCTTTTTACACCCAACGACTACCAGCAAAGGAGCCAACCACAGAGGCCATTTCTTGGGTGGCGTCCTGTAGCTTCCAATTCTTACCAACCAGGCACCCAAACCGCCTTAAGCAAAAGACACGCCCAACTCGAGCGACCAAATGTGGAGGTTTCAATCAGGGGCCAGTTCTTCTTTCTCTTTTTTCTTCTCCAGCCAAGGGTTTCCTTTTGATTTCCCTATCTATAGAGCCATCTTTAAACCGCTTTAAATGGGTTCCTATGAGACAGACCCAACTCGACCCTTCAAGCGGCTTTCGGCTCAGGACAAGGACTTGGACTTGTTGAGCATGAAGGACGGCAGCAGGATCAAGGCCTACCCTATCAAGCCACTCGGCGCCGCTGCCGGTTTCCGTGCGTTTTCTTGTCTGGTCTACCTTCAATTGGAACAGGGTCACTTGTGGAACATTGTGTGGGCTGGGGGCTGGGGGCTGGGGGGTGGGGGGGAGGCAGGGGCGAAAGGAGGGGCGAAGGGAGGGGCGAAGGGAGCTAGGCCGTATTAAGGGCTTACCAAGGGCTTATTTGTGAATTGTCTTTCAGGATCCCCTTGCCAGGTTCCATGTTGGTGGATAGGAGGGTATGTGTCTTTTTTCCAGAGCAGCCTTAAACCGACAAAAACCCAGAAAAATCGGTGTCCCCTGTTTTCCTGGTAAGGGTTTCCTTCTTTTTGCAGGTTTTTTTAGGGGCTAGCTGATTAGACAAGTATGACCATGACTTAGCAATTATTTGCCTTTCTAGTACACGAGTGTGTCTTTGGTTTGAGGCTTGGTACCCTTTCAGGGTGCTTTTGAGGGAATCGAAAGATCATTATCCTACCAAGTATTATGCTTGAGTAGAAAGCTGCACGCCGGATTTGTCGCTTCTGCGAGTTGGTTCTGATTAACCAGCTTTGCGATGGTTTGGTTTGCTGCTTTCTTGTTGCCTTCCATGCCCAAAGTAATGCCCACTGCCCCGGCTTTTTTCTGCTCGCCTCCCCGCAGTCACCGTCAAATACAATTCTGTGGGCTTAAGTCAGCGAAGGCAACGCGTGGACAGGCGGCTTGAGCGGGCGAGCCTGCTTTCAGATGGCCGCTGATGCGTCTGCATGTCTCACCTAGTTTGTTCACGCGCAGCTTGGTTAGTGCAGCAAACACGTAAGTGTTCGAAGCGCCGTTCGCTACTTCGGGCACACTATAGCTCCTTGCAGTCTGCGCATCAGGGCTCAACTCAACTGCGATAGGGAATGATAGTGAGCGACGCGGCTAGATTGCTGGGGGCCTCGTGGTGCGAGTGCGCGGGGTCGTTTGCAAGAACTGCAGTAAGGTGCCTTTGCTTAGTTCACGCACCGCGCCGGCTATTGTCATCGCTGCTATGCTGCGTCCCCCCACGGCGCGGCCGCCAAGATTGCATTTGAAAACATACCAGCGGCTTGTCAGCCAGATCGAAATCGACCATTGGCTTCAGAACTGCGCGCGATTCGCTGTATCCTCACAGTCGCAAAATCGGCAAGGATGGTTGCAGACTCGCTACCCTGACGAGCTCAGTGGTGGTTCCAGCAGATTCAATCACATTTCCAACCGAGAACAGTGTCCTTTTGTGAAAATCGGCGTGGGGGGACATGACGGTTTGCATGCATGGTTGGGGAGAATCGCCCTTTCTGTGATACTAAAGTAGGCATGCCCCTGGATTACCTTGTCACTTCACAAGGATTCCCTTGGCTTCACAGCAATTGGCAACTGGTCCTAAAAAGCAGTTTTCCACAGCCATCTATGAGCATCAGGTATCATCTAGTCTCCGTGCTGGATGTTTGCTGGCCAAAAGCGCGGGCGGTGGTGGGCTTCGACAACGGCTCTCTGCAGACGCTGTGGCCGCAAGCCGCGCTTCTGCGTTGAACAGGTTCTTCTCCTGGCGCTTAACGTCAACCTCGGAATTTTGTCCGATGGCCATGCTACTCAGGTAGCTGTGGGTCAAAACCAATGGTACCATTTTGGGGTAGGTGCGCCACCCATTTTAGTCTATGTTTGTGGGGATTGGGATGTTCACTGGGGGTACGGGGTGTTGAGCCGCCAGGTGTGGTTCCCCTTAGTGGGGAATCAATGCACGCCAGGGGGGGTCCTCCTAGTATGGTCCTCCGATTCTCCCGAAGCAAACACTTGCTTTGGAGCTTTTCAGGTGGCAACAAATTCACATGCCCCGTGGATCCCCGTCACCTATATAAGTAGGCAACCGTTCCTTCTGGTTTTAGGCTGGCAAGCCCTTGAAGTTAGCTGCAAGACCAGTTTGAAATGGAATCACTACAAAGGCTGTGCGAGCGGGATGCTTCCTGAAGATGATCAACACAGTTCGGCTTTAGTTTGTTTGGTGGTTGGTTTCCGGGTCAATTATGTTTTTTACTTGTTTTGGTGGTTCTTGTGGTTTAGTAGTTGGGTTGCCGTATGTAACCGGTTCCTTAGGTTGTTCTAGTGGTTTTTGGTTGGTTTAGTGGTTGGTTTCCGTATTTAATCCAACAGTTAAAGGCTTTTTGCAGGGAATCTGAAAACAGACAGCCCAGGCTTAGAGGGATACGATGATCAACGCTCGTTGGGACGTCGAAAAAGAGGGTTCCGTGTCTCCCTTCTCCAGGGGACCATGTTGAACGAGCGTGACGGGTGCCTTGACCAACACTCAAGCCCCAAAGACTGCCTTTTGCCAAGACCCCAACAACAAGTCCAGGAAATGTGTCACCCCCCCCCCCCGCCTCAAAATGGGCTTCAGGTTTCCTCTTGGTTTCCTTTTAAACCAACCCTTTGGCCTCAACAACAACGCACTCTCGAGTTCATTTGTTTCGCTGAGCCAAATACCTTCCTCTCACCGTTCTCTTCTTGGTTGCCCTTGAACAAACCTAAAAACACTTTTGGCCTCAACAACACACTCCCGGCTAACGCCTTGGCTCGAGGATCTGGGGCTTGCCCATGGCGGCGTCGCAGAGCTCATTGAAAGGCCGGCGGGTCGCGGTCGCGCGGGTTTCTGGACACCCTTCTTTTGCTTTTTGGCACCAGGTGGTGTCAGGGTCTGATTTGGTGGTTTGGTTAGTTTTTTTTTTTGCACCAGATGTCAGGTAGGGTCTTATCTTGCTGGTGCTTTGGAGATGCAGGGAATGAGACATGGGAACTGACCCCGAGATAAACCATCCAACTGGTGGTTTCCTTTACGGGGTTGGGGTTAGGTAGGGTCTGATTCGGTGCTTTGGATTGGTGCTTTGGATTTTTATTTGGATCCTTTCTTGTTGAGGTTTCTTAGTGGGCGGTTTGCATTTGAATGTCCTCTTGAGGCAACCTGCGTAAGTTTGACCGTGGCTCATGTGCAAGACGCGTGAGGGAAATCTACGCGTTGCGATCCACTGAAACATGCACCTGATTTTTCTAAAATGCGAAGCTCCAGAATTGGGCCCAAAAGCCTCAAAGCAGACACTCCTATTTCGTCCGGGCAAATGGTCAAGTCGTATCACAAGCGGTTGCTCTGAGGTCCCTAGGCTGAGGTTCCCATCTGTTGTTTGTTTTGAACAGCTCGTTTTGGCAGGAAAGGCCGTTTCCTGGCTGTTGTGCTGTTGGCTGATTCCTCTCCGGCTATAGGCAAGTAAGAATTAGTTGTCTCGATCCATTTCTATCCACCTTCCCTTGGGGTTGATTGGCGGTACCCGAGTGTTTTCTTTTACAGGACCCCCAAAATGATTGGGTTTTCCTTTTGGTTTCCCTGTACAACCACAAAAACATGAGGGTGGCCAAGTCTAAAAACGAGGCTTCGTATATTGAAGCCTCGCTTTTGGGTCTGGGTCTTATCAGTTGAGAGACCCAAAAGCGTCACCCACCCAACTGGAGCAGACAGCTCCAGTTGCTCCAGTGACTTGGGTCTGGACTTGAGGGTCGAAATGAGTAAAGTTGCGAAGGCTTTCCCTTTGAAGAACACACATCCCTTCTAGATGTGTATCATTATTACTATTAAGAATGCAAACCTATATATATATATACATAATGTATCTCCGTACATATTCACACATATACAAGTGCAGAATACACATTTACAGACACACACACACACACCACTCACCACACACCACACACCGCACACCACACACCGCACACCACACACCACACACCACACACCACAAACCACACACCACACACCACACACCACACCACACACTACACACACACACACCACACACCACACACCACACACCACACACCACACACACACACACCACACACACCACACACAACGCACACAACACACACCACACATACCACACACACCACACACACACACCACACACACACACACCACACACACACACACCACACACACACACCACACACACACACACACACCACACACACCACACACACCACACACACCACACACACCACACACACACACCACACACACCACACACACCACACACACACACACCACACACACCACACACACCACACACGCCACACACACCACACACACCACACACACAACACACACAACACACACAACACACACAACACACACAACACACACACACAGCACACACACACACACAGCACACACAACACACACAACACACACACAACACACCCAACACACACACAACACACACACACAACACACACAACACAACACACACAACACACAACACACACACAACACACACAACACACACAACACACACAGCACACACAACACACAACACACACAACACACACAACACACAACACACACAACACACACACACAACACACACAACTCACACAACACACACAAAACACACACAACACACACAACACACACAACACACACAACACCCACAACACACACACAAAACACACACCCACAACACACACAACACACACAACACACACAACACACAACACAACACACACAACACACACACACAACACACACACAACACACACAACACACACACACAGCGCACAAAACGCACACAACACACACACACAGCAACACCCACACACACAACGCACACAACACACACAACACACAGCAACACACACAACACACACAACGCACACACAACACACACACACATACACACAACACACACAACACACACAACACACACACAACACAACACAAACACAACACACACACAACATAAACTCAACACAAACACAACACACACAACACACACACACACAACACACACAACACACACAACACACACCACACACACACACACACAACACAAACACACACAGCAACACACACAACACACACACACACAACACAACACACACACCCACAACACACACAACACACACACACACAGCGCACAAAACGCACACAACACACACACAACACACACACAACACACACAACACACACACACAACACACACAACACACACAACACACAACACACACACACAACACACACAACACACACAACACACACAACACACACAACACACACACACAACACACAACACACACAACACACACACACACACAACACACACACAACACACACACAACACACACACACAACACACACAACACAAACAAGACAAACACAACACAAACACAACACAAACACAACACAACCACAACACACACAACACCAACACAACACACACAACACACAACACACACAACACACACACAACACACACAACACACACAACACACACAACACACACAACACACACAACACACACACAGCGCACAAAACGCACACAACACACACACAGCAACACACACACAACGCACACAACACACGCAACACACAGCAACACACACAACACACACACAAACCGCACACAGCACACACAACACACACAACACACACAACACACACACACACAACACACACAACACACGCAACACACACAACAGACACACAACACACACAACACACACACACAACACACGCAACACACAACACACACACACAACACACACAACACACACACAGCGCACAAAACACACACAACACACACAACACACACACACACACAGCAACACACACAACACACACAACACACACACACAACACACACAACACACACACACAACACACACAACACACAGCAACACACACAACACACACACACAACGCACACAACACACACACAACACACACAACACACACAACACACAACACACACAACACACACACAACACACACAACACACACAACACACACAACACACACAACACACGGACAACACAGACAACACACACAACACACAGACAACACACACAGCGCACAAAACGCACACTACACACACAAACAGCAACACACACAACGCACACAACACACAGCAACACACACACACAACACACACAAAACACACACAACACACACAACACACACAACACACACAACACACACACACAACACACACAACACACACACAACACACACACACAACACACACACACACAACACACACAACACACACAACACACACAACACACACAACACACACAACACACAACACACACAACACACACACACACACAACACACACACAACACACAACACACACAACACACACAACACACACACACACAACACACACAACACACACAACACACACAACACACACAACACACACAACACACAGACAACACACACAGCACACACACAGCGCACAAAACGCACACAACACACACACACACAGCAACACACACACACAACGCACACAACACACACAACACACAGCAACACACACACAACACACACACACACAAAACGCACACAACACACACAACACACACAACACACACAACACACACAACACACACACACAACACACACACACAACACACACACACAACACACACACACACACACACTCACTCACATGCCAAACCAGCCCCCCACCCCCCCGACGCACCGCTAGGGCACAAAGACCGGGTCACCGCCCTCTCGGTGAACTGGAAGCTGAAGCGCGCCATTTCCAGCCATTCCCCCAGGAGGGATTGGAGCGGGGAAGGGCTTCTTAAGTCGTAGTGGAACCCTCGAAATGTGTGTTTTCCTTGAGTTCCCTTCACAATAACGATCAACAAGGGTTCCTGAAAAAGGAGACGCCCGGAAGGAAAGATATTTCTTGCCCTGACAGGCTTCCTTGGCACCTTGAGAATGATTTTGGAGAGATCAAGAGGGATCAAAGTTCCACTTAGGTGCCAAGGAACCCCTACGGACATGACCCTGGAACAGCCCAGCATAGACCCTCAGAGTCGGTTGGCGCGTTGGCTCAAGGAGGGTGCATGGGGAGCGGGGGGGGGGTTGAAAACCCTCTGGCCCGATTTGTCCAACGTTCGAAGAGTTTACATGTCCAATGTTTAACCACTGGTGGAGCTGACAGCCGACGTCCGACGGCTCACTCACCGAGGCGGGCAGGATAAGTCCGTGCGGCTGTGGAACATGCAGAGGTCCGAGTGCATCAGGCAGGCAGTGAACTTGGGGTTCCCAGTTCCCTCGAAATCCCCTTTGTTCCATTTGCTTAAGAATATTTGTTCTTTTTCCCTGTTGGTTTCAATCGGAATCTATCACTACTAGACATAGTTCTTTTCCCCCCCTGGACTTAAGCAAATGGAAGTGTTTGCTGGGTTCGGTTCTGCAAATGGTCAACGCCATTTCCTGTTACCACCAGTTTGTTCCTAAAAGGAGACCAAAAGAAGGGGATGGTGTGTTAGTTTTGCCAGACTTGGTCCATTTGATGCCCGTAAGACAAGGCTCCGGTTGCCTGCCATTTTGACTTGACCCTGCAGCTGTTGTTGTAGCAAAATTCGGAGGCCCATGGGGTCCAGGTTTACTAGAGGAAGGTACGTGCTTGTGTGTTTGCGTGTTGTGTGCTTCTTGTTTGCTCGTTTGTTTGTTTGTTTGTTTGTTTATTTGTTTGTTAGTGCGTTTGTGGTTGAGTGTGTGTCTTTTTTTTGGTGTGTGTGTGTTTGTTTTTTTAGAGTACCCTATTTTGTTTGGCTTGCATGGGTGCTTTTTTTTTTGAGAGTACCGGGTCAAAATTAAACCACCAGGGGACTGCAGGTTTAGTCCTTTCCATTTAACAGGGGCAACTCAACACTGGGTACCTGAACCCTCTCGATCATCCCTTACGCATGGGTTATTACCCCAAGATTATGCGGTGACTTTCCCTTTTTATGGGTAGTTTGAGGGTTCTTCCGTGCAGAGCTCTTGGTCAACTTGTGCAGAGTAGCTTGCACAGAGTCACCAGCACGGAGATACCAGCATGGAGATACTCGCGCAGAGTTACTAGCACAGAGTAGCTTGCACAGAGTTACCAGCATGGAGATACTTGCACAGAGTCACCAGCACGGAGATGCCAGCATGGAGATACTTGCACAGAGTCACCAGCGTGGAGATACTTGCACAGAGTCACCAGCATGGAGTCACCAGCATAGAGTTACTTGCGCAGAGCCAAGTGCAAAGAGCCAAGCGCATAGAGCCAAGTGCTCAGAGCGAAGTGCAAAGAGCGAGGTGCAAGGAGCCAAGTGCACAGAGCTAAGTGCACAGAGCCAAGTGCAAAGAGCGAAGTGCATCGAGCCAGGTGCATAGAGCCAAGTGCATAGAGCTAGGTGCATAGAGCTAAGCTAAGCTAGGTGTAGAGGCTCGGCGGTAGCAGCTGTGTAAGCTAGGTTAAGTAAGTTAGGTTAAGTACTTAACGCGCGGGAAAGAAAGAGAAAGAGCTCGGTATTAAGAATCTCTTTTAAGGCGGGGGGTGGGGATGTTGCCGACGATCGGGAATGCGACCCTCTGCGGGGACCGCGCGACCCTCTGCGGAGATCGGCGTGGTCGAGGTGCAAAAACTCGAGTTTTTTTGCGTTTTTTGCGGTGCCCGCGCGACCCTCTGCGGAGATCGGCGTGGTCGAGGAGCAAAAACTCGGGGTTTGTTTACGTTTTTTTTGCGGTGCCCGCGCGACCCTCTGCTGGGATCGAGGTGCAAAAACTCGAGGTTTTTTGCGTTTTTGACATTCCCAGATGAACCCTCTGCGGAGACCGTGCGTGTCGAAGCGCTCTTGCTGTGGCGCCGTGCGAATTCTTTTTAGTCTCGGCGAACCCTCTGAGGAGATCGTGCGTGTCGAAGCGCTCTCGCTGTGGCGCCGTGCGATTCTTTTGCGAAATGGCCTTTGGAAGCTGTCTCGTGGTTTGCGCGCCTGCTTTCGCAATCCCGCGGTCGCGTTCGATTCCCCCCTGGTCCGCGGCAGCTCCGGCTTGAAAATCGCAGCTTTTAAGTACAAACGTAGCACGCGACGTAGCAGCTCCGGCTGGAAAATCGCAACTTTTAAGTACAAACGTAGTACGCGGAGCACACTCACGCAGCTCCGGCTGGAAAATCGCAACTTTTAAGTACAAAAATAGTATGCGAAGTACATTCCCACAGCTCCGGCAGCACTTGCGCAGAGCAACTTTCGCAGAGTCACTTGCGCAGAGCAACTTGCGCAGAGCAACTTGCACAGAGCACTTGCACAAAGCACTTGCGCAGAGCAACTTGCTCAGAGCACTTGCGCAGAGCAACTTGCTCAGAGCACTTGCGCAGAGCAACTTGCACAGAGCACTTGCGCGCAGCAGCTTGCAGAGAGCAACTTGCGCGCAGCAGCCTGGAACAATGCAGCTTGCGCAGACCACTTTCGTGAGAAATCGCGCGGCGCAGTTCGTGCAAAGCACATTGCGCCGAGCAGACTCGTGCAGAGCCAACTTGCACAGAGCCAGTTGCGCAGAGCCACTCGCGAAAAGTAGTTTGCGTAGAGCCAACTTTCACAGAGCCAAGCTGCGCAGAGCCATCTTGCACAGAGCTAAGTTGCGCGAGCGTGCTTTGCAGAAACTGTGGCCGTCGTGTAAGCTTTGCTACTGATTACTTTTCCTTCTGCTTGTAATTCGTTTCGAGCTTTACGAGCTGTACTCTTCTTGTTTGAACGGATGTAAATATGTGGGATCGAGCAACTGCCATGTTTCCTCTCGTAGGACGATGAGATGGAGCTCTCATGTGACCATACACATTGAGCATCGCCGCGTGCAGACACGCTCGCCGCAGCGATGTAAAAAGGTGTCTCCGCGGCTGGATGAGCACCTGGGAAAAATGCTTTCGGGCCAATCGTCCTCTAGTTTTATTCCGGGGGGCGAAAAGCAAACGGAAGTCCAGGGCAACTTTTATTTGAAGTTCCCTTTCAACTGGGTTGCCCCAAAATTACAAGGTCCCTATTTAAGGGTCCGGGTCCTACCCATTTTGATCCCCTATCCATGAAATACAACTGTCCTTACCAAGTTAAATGTCCATGAAGCAGCGGTCGGTGTTGACAACAAAGACACGCCAGTGGCCACCATTGCGATTGATCCTGCCGGGGCCATACCATGTAGTCCCCACTGGTTCTCCCGGCGTTGGGGGCCTTTGCCCGAGTGGATGAGGCGCAGGGCGAGACTTGGGTCGCCTTGGCCTTCGGCTTTGTCTTTGGCTTTGCCTTTGGCTTTGCCTTTGCCTTGCCTTAAAGACATTTAAGGGTCTTTAAGGGTCCTACCCAAAATAATATGGGTAGGGGGGTCATTGTCCAGGTCCAGGTCCTTTTTGATCGTCCCTATTTTGATCCAGGTCCAGGTCCCTATGTTTTTGTAAGGCTCCCTTTGATCCCTATGGTCCAGTGAGACACCCAACATTTCAGGGTTATTACCCTATTTCAGGGTCTTTTTGGTCCCAATTTTTCGGGAGCCCCCGTGACCCCATGACGATCCCAGTGCGACACCCGAGACGCCCGTGGCTCTGGTCGATCGCCAGGGTGGTCAGTGGGCACCTGCTGGGCTTGCGGTGCCTCTGTGTGGACTGGGACCTAGGCGTGTGGCGGGCGCGTGCCGTGGGAATTGGTGTGGCCCCTGGGTGGGTGTTCAGTGAATTTCGCGGTTCCTTAGAGACTTTTTTCGTGGTTTTTAGAGGGTTGAGTGATTGGGTTTCGATTTAGCCCACTACAAGTTGAAAACTTTTGGCAAGGGGATCTGAGGACAGCCCAGGATTAAGACCCCCGTTTTGGGGGTGTTGTCAGGGAAACCAAAATCCATGTTGGGCTCCGAATCAGTTTTGCCCCAGATGGCTGGAGATTGACGGCTGGGTGCTGGTGCATTTTGGGGTGCTGGCGCCGGTGCCGTTTTGGGATGCTGCTTAGGGGCTGTTTTGAGGTGCTGGTGATGGTGCGGGCCAGTTTCTGCGAAATTTATTGCTTGGGTGCTGGTGTGCAATCGATGGCATGTTCTTCGCTATTTGGGGTCTATGCTGGTGTAGTTTGTTTTAAAGGGACGCTAAAGGGAGATAAGGAGAATCAGAACATTTTTCCGGAGCTTCACTGAGTCGAATGATTTGGGGTTGCGCCAATTGGGTTTGTCTCCAATAATGGACCCCTTAAATAGGTGGTATACACAGGGTCCATCCGCAAGGATGTTAATGAATATAACCCCCTCCTGGTGTTCGAAAACACGGCGATGTGATTGCAAAGGGGTCCTTGACTGTTCACATTACAAGCAAAGCTTGGCCTGGTGCTTGGCGCGCTGCTGGTCAACAGACGCAGGGGGGTAGTTGGAACTCCGAACTCCGTTTGGACGCGATCTGCACAAGTTCAGGCAAGCAGAAAGCGAAACTGAAACCAACGCCCAGCCCATAATGAACAGAGCGTTCTTTGGGCTCCCATGACTCTCGTTTGCAATAGACAAAGTCCGCTTCGAACCAGTTCAGATGGATGACACCTGATTTAAATATTGGGATACTTAACACCTACGAACTGGCGATTCATGCACGACCTAGGTTGGGCAGATGCGTTTGGCGCGTGATGAGCATAGGTGTTCCTACTTGAGCGGTGACCAAAGTGTAAAGGACACATTGTCATAGTATGGGGCTGCAAGCCGCGGGGCTTCCGCAACCTTCGACATGTGGTTGTGCTTCTGCGGCAACGAAACTTTCGATATATGCGAGCTTCCTTGCCCTGAGCTCCTGAACCATTCCTTCCGAGTCCATTTGGGCGCCCCAGGCTTGATTGGGTTTGTGTCTGTCCAAGGGATCCTCTCCTTTTCGGGATCTCAAGCAACACCAAGAGGGTGCGTATTTTTTGAGGGTACTCTTTAGTTTGTGGTTGAAAAGGAAACCAACAGGAAAGCCATCCATTTTGTTGGTCCAAACAAGACAGACCCACCCTTCCCTGAGTTGTTCCAGAAAGGCTCCAACCAGCACTCCCCAACTGCTGTTTCCATCAATCCCAAGTGTCCAACAGTTGGGGGGTGCTGGATGGGGTCCGATTCCGAACTTGCCGGTGCTCAGGGAATGAGAAATGGAATGACCCCTCTTTCAGCCATCCCCGATTTGGTTTCCTTCATTCGGGAATCCCCAAAGGGCCTACTTGTCGCACCATCAAGCCAAAAGGAAACCAACCTAGGGGCAGTTGCTCCAACTCATTTTGCGAAACATCCAAGCGGCTTGGTTTCAGGTAAACTCCAAATCGCCACCCCGCAAACCGCGAAACGGAACCGAGCAAGAAAAGCCGACAGCTGCACCCACCGTCCGTCCGCAGGCGTCGCTCTGTCCAGTGCCTGGGATGGCGCCGCCCGGCCGATCCGAAGGCGGTGGCTGGCTTTCCCTGGTGAGTTGGCATCGTTCTGTTAGCATACGTGTATGTATGTATGTATGTATGTATATATATGTAAATATATATGTATTATACGTAAATACGCAGCAATATGTACATCCTCTTTGTGCACATATATATATATATATATAAAGCAACGCAGCTCAAAACAAGGACAGGCCCATGATTCGCGCTCCTTTGTTGTCTCTCTTTTTGTTCTCCTTTTTTTGTTGGGAACCCACCTTTGGCTTGTTTCTGAATTGGAACACCCAAGGGACACCAACCGCGTGGGTTTAAACTCGATCCCAGTCTTCCTTGTGGTGTTCCCGTCTAAGACGAAGCACCAAAACAGGTTTGCCTGAAAAAGGGACCCTCCCAAGAAAGGTATTGAGCCTCAAAACACCTTGAAAACTACTCCCCTCCCAGAAAGGAATGCCAACTCTGGAAGGGGCAGGCCCAACTCCCAGCCCTCAAACCACGAAGAAGTCGGGACCGTTTGCCTCACAAGAGGGCCCACATCCCATTTTTAGGGCTGGTCGATTTTGTGGGTGGTTTGTTCAATTATTTTCAAGGCTCTTGGGGGGTCCTTTTTTTTAGCCACCCTTTTTTGGGGTGGGTTTTAGATGGGGGAACACCAAAAAGAAAACTGAGATCAAGCTTAAACCCCAAGCTCCCCTCAAATGGTTGGTGTCTTTTCGGTGTTTGAGGCTTGGGGTTTTGCTGGGGTCCCCGTTTTTGAGGCTTGGAGGTCTCCATTTATGACAGCCCATTTTCCCTTTCTATTGGAATACTAGATCAATGGAATTGGGTAGGCAGGAGAAACTCCCAGGCAAAAACGGAGGAACCGTTTGTTCAGGCTTGTCTTGACACCCCCCCCCCCTCAGGTCAGGTTGATCCTTGTCATTTTTTCTTGAGGGGACACCCCGTTTTGGGGCTCCAAATCAGGTGTCCATTTCATCCACGACCCCAAGGCTCCTGACCCCTCCAAGGCTCATACCCCCCGGACCCTTTCAAAAAAGGCCCGGACCCCTCAGGGGTCCTTGAAAACCAAACAGCTTCAAAAGAAAAGAAACCGGACCCCTCACAGGTCCTTGAAAACCGCTTGAGGGCCCAAAAAAAGACGGGAGCCTTAGGGTAGCCGAGATCTCTGAGGAGATGCAGCTCTGGGAGATCGCGGACGAGGTGGACATGGACTTTGCCCTGCAGCCCGTGGGGGGCGAGGCCGGGCGAGGGGACGTGACGTATGGGGGGGGGGAGGAGGGACGCAGCTGGTGGGAGGGTGGCTCCCAGCCATCTTAGCTTGTTAGCCTTTTAGTGTTTAAGTGGTTGGATTTCCATTTAACCCACTAGAAGTTAAAAGCCGTTGTGGCTCAGGACCTCCCCGTGGTAACGGCGGGTTGTGCTGACATGAGCATTCCCGTGCCTCGCTGTGCCCCTCTCGTGTTTCGCTGTGGTTGGTTACTGCTTGTACCATGATGCCTGCAAGGTTCAACCCGGATGTGACCTCTCTTGCACCCGTGACCAGCTTTCTACGACCACTGGTTGTGTTCCCGGGCGTCCCGGCCATTTTTGGAAATTATCCATGCTTCGCCGTTTTTGGCGTTCCGTTTCTGGATTCTGTTGGGGCTCTATTTGTGAACTTCAGTTTCCTGAAGCCGCTTTATTCAGGCATGGCACTTCCTTTGTGGCCTCTGTCACGTGCAGTTGCCCATCTACGCAGTGGGTGAAACGGACCTGCGCTTTTACCTTGCCCGCCGCAGTATGTTGGACTTTTACAGTGGGACCTGCAGCTTTGCCTAGGGCTTTGTTTTTTTCAACGCCCTCCGCGGGGTTTCCGGCAGTGGAGCTCTTCATTCACTTCCTCTACATATTCTGGACAGCTGGTCCTTGCAGATACTTCTCCATATCCAGGTGTGCCGGTACCCGCTGTTCTTTCGCTGGCTACCAATGTTTTTACAGTGGATCGCGACAGCTTGAGGCTCTCTTCGGAGCAGCCAACTTGAGCCTTTACCTTGTCCGCAGCGGCGTGTGTTGGACTTTTCCCTGGGACTCCGTTCGGTTCTCCCTTCCTCCCATAATTGCCTCTGCCACCAGCCCGGCTACAGTTGAGTGGTGGACCGGCTTCGTCCGTCCAACTGTGAAGCTGTTGTTTTTTGCCAAGGTTTGAGGGGGAGTGGACAATCCACTGCCTCGAAATTCACGTTTCCAGTATTTCGGTCCTTCCAGGAACTTGCCCCCAGCCTTGACTCTGTCTGGCTGTTTCCCTTCTAGGACCCTCTCCTGCTAATGTCCTTTCGGGCTTTTGACCTTTCCACATGCCTGTTCCTCCAGTGTGAGGAACAGTCATTGTTGTTTGGCTTTGGCCCCCTTGACCTTTCAAGCCACAGCGCTTGGGGTCTGATCTTCGCAGACCATTCCTGCCTCACCCGTTCGGGGTTCGTGGTCTATGACCACCGGCCACGTAACGACTCATCGCAATTCAGGGCACTAAAAGTTAAACTTTTAGCGGGGACAGCCCAGGTGGGAGGGTGCAAGGGCCGGACATGGTTCAAAGGGTTAAAAGCCCGGTTAGCCCCCAGTGAAGATCCGAATCCAACCACTAAACTAGGTTCTAAAATGGGTGGTGCACCTACCCCAAAATGGTTCCATTGGTTTTGACCCACCGCCACACGGTTCAAAGGGGGGTTTCAGCATCTCGATGACAATTGTTGAGTGTGGTTGGTGCTGACCTTTGGAGTGTTCTCTCTTTTGTTTTTTGGTCACACCCGCGAAAGTTGCTGGAATTCAAGTCGCAGCCGCCGAAGCAGTTGTCTAAAAGAGGCGATCGCGGGGACCACCCAGGTTTTCGCTTCGAAAAGCCTGCTCTTTGGTTCCCCTTCCTTCTGGCTTACTTCATCTTAGAAGTCAACGTTTCAATGCAAATGCCCTGGGCCCGAACATGAAATCAATCCCCCCCCCCCTTCCCCCCAGCGCAGCTTTTCGAGGTGCGCGCCGGCGGGGTGGCGCTGCTGATTGTCAAGGAGGGCGAGGCCGCACACGTCTCATGCCATGGCTCTGGGGGGTGCCTTCCATTTCCATTCTTTCCAGGGATCCAGAACCAGGGCATGGGATGCCTTCCATTCCATGTCATGTTGCCTTCCATTTCCATGCCATGGTTCTGGGGATCCTTCCAGAACACCTCCGGAACTTTCCAGGGAGAACACAGCCATGTTTTGTTTAAACAAACGCTGAACGATGGGTTGACCATGTGGAATCCGCCCCTGTGGTCCAAGTTTTCTTTGCCTTACAGTGCCGAAGTCGCCTCTTGTGGCTTGGGGCGAAGAGCTGTTCCTTCCGGCGACTCCTGCTTTGCGCCTGGTTGACAACCCGGGGACAGGAAGGAAAAAGAACGCGGAGAGCACGAAACTGTCCTTTTGTCGGGCAAAAACCAAAGAACACGAAGAACAAGGCAAATGACCAAGACCTGTCCGTTTGCCGCGCAAAAATCTGAACCATGGCGGCATGGAAGGCTGTGGGGTCCGCCAGGGAAGGTCTTGTTTGGTCCTGTGGGTTCATGCCAGGGAAACCAGCGGCACGGGAGAAACAGCAGTTTATTGTAGCTGGAACATGTTTGCCAATGAAATACCCATGGTTGGTCCTGGCCTTTGGTGGATATGTGAATGTTGGTCATTGATTTATGATTGTCGGAACCAAACAGATTTGGAACTGGGCGGGGCGAACTGACCCCTGGCAAACAAGCTGAACTTGTTGCACTCGTTTGGGAAAGAGTTATCCAGGGCCCTTCCCGCCAAAAAAAAGGTTGGTTCAGTCGCGCTCAATAAAAAAAGAAGACAACATCGGATGGTCATCTCTGGACTTTGTGACCGCACAGACGGCTGTGAACATGAAGTTCTTCAAGTGTACCTTTTTGAGATACCCTTTTTGTGGCCTAAATACTGTTGTGGGGTAACAGAAACAATTGAAGCCATGACCAGGTGACCATAGCAGAAACACACACATTCACAAGTTTAGCCCCTTAAGTACTAGACCCTTTTCAAGGGCCCCTTCTGAAGTACTAAGCCCCTTTAAAAGGGGTATTCCCCATCGAACTGCAAGCCTCACTCTTTTCCGACGAACGGACCGAAATATCAAGAATACATCTATTGAAATTCTGACTTCAAAAAAGATGAATTGTCTACCCTTGTTCCGGGTCTTTGCAATAAGCCTGCACTGTGATGAGACACGTGCGACTCTTTTTTTCCTGATATGTTTATAGTTTTGTTGCGTTCACCTGTCAGAGTAAACCTCGACCCCGGAAATATGTTTGTTTAGCCTGGCGTCTGACGAGGGTGGCTATCGCCTTTTTAACCACTTTAGACCTGAAATAAGGCCTTATTAGAGGCTTTTTTTGGCTTGTCCTCGATTGTTGGAAAGGTAGCTGGGCCCTCAAAATACCTTCAAAGATGGCCAACATTCTGGGTTGCTTTCCCTTTCTTGAAGGGTAGTTTGAGGGTCCAGGTAGCCGCAGACAGGGATGGAAGGGCATGTTTTTCCTCGGTCAGGGGAAGGAGGAGCACTCTGACGAAGAGGTCGAGGAGATCGAGGCCGACACGCCCGGAGCCCAGTGGAAAGGAGCCGCTTCAGGTACTCTTCCCTTTGCTTAGCCTTATGCTAGATCTTCCGAGTTGCCCCGGTGGCGCCTTTTTTTCCTCTTTTTTTGGAAGGGTTCCCCTTTAAACTCAACCAACAAAAAAACAATAATTCATGCTTTGCCCTTCCCCTTAGCGGGACGGCCTGATTTTTGGCTTCGGCCGGGATGTGGGCTCCACTCACTCCAATTGGGGGGTGGGTGGGGTCTGGAGCAATGTGGTGGAAACAACCGAAAAAGGATGCCCCTTTTTTCCCCTGGCCACTGGGCAGCTGAGGTGGTTGGGTTTCCATTGTTCCATTAAACAAGCCCACAAGTGAGTGAAACTGCTAGCAGAGGATCAGAAAACGGCCAGCCAAGTTAAGGACACTGCCGGTTTTGAAGGGAATCGATTTCACTCCTGGATTTTGGGGCTTGAGCAAATGGAGGGACTCGAATGCACGTAAAAAGGGGTTGTTCGGCACCTCCTTAGGTACTTGGACCCTTGGGGATAGCCGCAGCTAAACTTGGAATTAGCCACAATAGCCAAAACATTAGTTGACCCACAATCAAAACTCGGGTAGATGAAGGTTAGTAGGGGGACAATCCCCTTGCCATAAATAGCTGCGGTCGCCTTCTTAATTCTTTACATGGTTCTCGGTCGACCATTCTAATACCGGGTTTTAATTGTGACTCAATTGAAGTATTGGGTTCACCTAGACCTTGTCGCGGAAGATATGTGTAACTCCGTTTGGGAGCCTTCCAAGTCAGGAATTCTCCATTTACAGGGAGGTTTCCTGGTATCACACTGGGGTTTTACTCCGCATTCCCACAAGCATGGTTTGCAAGAAAACTTCCACACTCCGCGAGTCGCAGACGGAATGTCACTTGGGTTTGGACCATGCAAACAACAAGTTTCCGGGGACGTATTCGGGTCACTCCACATACTCGGGATCCCGAAAATTGGTTGGAGGTGCTGAAGAAGGCATTTGTATCCCGAATTCTTGAATTCCACATTGGCTCCACGGTGATTGATAGATTCCACTGATTGATAGATTCCACTGCGCTTAACATTGGACTCCACAGTCCGCATTAGGCCTCCGGAACCCCGAATTGGTGAGGGAGTGCGGCAGAACCATTTTCTTAATCACTTGATTTCACCTCCGGGTCAAGAAATCTGAGTCCAAATTCCGGATGCTTCCTCAACCCCGCAGAGCGGCCACCTGCCCACCTTCTGCCCCAGAGCCAGCTCAATCTGAGGGAGGGGGGAGGTTTTTAGATTTATTAATCAGTCCGACGTTAGCATTCACAACAACGACCCGGTCGGCGTCAACGACCCGGTGGGCGCAAGTTGGTAGAAACTTGTTCCCTAGGAGATTCCCAGATACCAACTTGAATTTTTCCATGGGGAATTCCCCAGATTCCCTAGAGAATTCCCCAGTTCCTTGGAATCCCTCATAGTTCCCTATGCTGAAGTCGTTTCCCCAGATACCACATGGCTTGAGTCGCAGGTCTGAGGCCCGAATGTAGGTTCCCCTCCGCCTGGAGGCCCCGCAGTAGCCCGACTTGTGGGGGTGTCCCGAAATGAGTCTCGTCTCTGCCGAATGGCAGCTCTTGGTTCACTGGTTCAACATGGAAACGACGGGTCTTGGGACATGCTCCCCTGCAGATGGATCCGGCATTCCTGAATTGGTGGTTTGGATTGGTGGTTTTGGGGATTTGCACCCCTGATTCTTGTTGAGGTAAAATGGAAACTACCTACTAACCTTCAATCCGCCAACCAAGCTATCAATGAGAGAGAAGCTGACTTGACATGGAATCTCTATATATATATATATGTATATATATATACATATATATATATATATACATATATATATATACATATATATATATATACATATATATATATATGGTACCCCCCCCTCGCAATGTATATATACATATATACTGAACTTTACAGGTTCGAATCCTGCTTGACCTCAGTTTGGGGTCCAATGTGTTTTTGTTCTTCTCCTTTTTTTCTTTTAACAATAACGAGAGACTGACATGTCAAAAGATCCACTTCCGCACCACTAGCGGCATCAACTTATACATTCTAGCCGCCATACACGGCCTTTATACAAAGCTCCTTTTTCTGTGGTGGTGGGGGGGGAGAAAATTTATTGGCAGCCCGCGTTTTGAGGGTCTTAGAAGAACCAAGTTGAAGATGCCATGGCTTTCTATTTCTTTTGGGTAATCATTGCCATTTATCGATCCAATCTTATCATCACACAGTGCACGCCAGCCAGCTTGGAAGTCAACCGATCCGTGTCAATCATATTATTCCATACACAGGCAGGACGCCAGACACTAGGACGAGGACCCAAATATTTGGGAGGTCTTAAGATATCTTAAAATAATAGGACATGCTGGACATGCGTGGTTTTCTCATGGAACCCACAAAACCATCATTTGTAGAGGAGACTCCTGTTGGGGGCCTTCCTTCTTTTTGGGTTTCATGTTGATTTATAGCGGAGTAGTACCCTCAGCAAAAAGCCATGCTTATGTACTCTGCCGCCGCCACACGTCAGGTTCAAGTCGCCTCAAAGCAAGACGCCTTCCAAGTGACTCGCTCCAATCCGTCGATCCGTCGACCCGCACGCGTGCTGAACATCGGCATGCCGGGCGCAGGTCGACAAGGGCTCCGCGCTTTGCTAGAAGCTTGTCAACGCCCACTTGTCACAAATGAAACAGGGTTGTGGGAATGAGTTGGGACACCTTACTTCCATGATGCCAAGGGACCTCCCCTTTAAATGAAGAATCATTCCTTGGGCAAGGCTTTCCGGTGATATAACATATTTGATTTGGGGAGAATCCTCTAGAGTGGGGTTGCCTTGGAGGGAAGCCAAGGACAATCCGCCTATTTTTGTTGACGAGGGTGCCTGTGTTTGGAGACAAACCCACACGGGTAGGAATTATCATTTCGATACCCTTTAGTGTACATATGTGGGCATCATCTAGATCTATGCCCACCGCTCAAAGAATGAACCTAGTTATGAAAAATGTAAAAAGAAATGGATTGGCATAACTCGGGGAGCAATCTTAACGAGAAATGGGGCATGACCTTTTTGTGCATGTGCTGGGATTGGGGAACAAGGAAGTTTACCCCCGAGACCTTTCCGCGATTTAACCGTGGTTTGGGGGCCATTTGTGGGGGGTGGCATTCCAAACGTGGACACATTGGTCGGTTCATTTCAGAGTGGGAATTCGCGACGCGCCCACGCGGCTATGAACTTTCAGAGCTGGAAGCATCTCAAAAGTGATTGGTGGACAAGCCCAAGGACACGGCCGCACGGAAAAGAAGGACCCGCCACATATCTTGCTAAAAGCGCAAGATGCGTAGTTGTCTTCCGATTGCTTGAAGTGTTCCTAGTGGTTCTTGTTCGTTTTGAGATGGTCATGCCAGGTGTTCATCCCAGTATATGTGTACATGTGCGTATACCGTATATACATATATATGCGTATATACAATACATACTTGTCAAAAATCAGGTGGCGCCGACTTGCGACAACCTTCGCAAGTACAGTAGCACCAACCAAGCAATCGGAAGTTGTACATAGAGGCTCGCGCCTTGCGGAGGCAGACCGGTCGCTTAAGGCAAGTCTCTCGGGAAGTTTCAGTTGGTTTTGTTGGCGTATCTCGCTTCACCCGCTTGTGGACCTTAACATTTTTTGGGAAGACCATACCAGTGGTACACGACAGGTTTGAACTGTCCACTCAGGAAGTCAGATATTGCGATACCCTTTGAGGATGGTGTTGGAGGGGTTAAGATGAGGTCATGTGGTACCTTGGAAGGTAAATGTAAGTTATGGAATCCCCGAGGAGTGCAGGTACCAGAAGGGTGGGTAGTTTAGTTGAGAGCCCTAGGGTTCCTTGGGGGTCTCTAGAGTTCCTGAAGGTTTTTTCGGGAGCCTTCGGGAACCTGCCCTTTGGACCACGATTCCCCAAGTAAGGGAAGATGAAGAACAAGATGGCCGCTTACTTTCCAATTCTAAAGTCCCTCCTGCAAAATACCACAGAAGCTCAGATTCATGGGTACATAGATAAATGCTATCCATATTTCCCAGTGGGATACCAGGGGTTTCGCACCCACGTGGTTTGGCTTTCAGACGGCAGGTGGGTCTGGCTTCCGAGGCTGACCGCCCGAACCTCCGTGCAAAATGAAAAAGATAAGCGCCGCGAGCGAGCGAGCGATTTCGTGCGGGGCACGAGAAGGCGTGTGCTATTGCTGCGATCATCACCGACCTATGTTGTTTTGAAAACAGAAAAACAATTTGTTGACACACAAAGCATGGCATGGCTCCTTACATCGTTTTATCACAGAAAAGCAGCTTTGAAACCAAGGACTCGTAGGAAAGTGGCTCAACTGGCTGTAGACAGGCCAAAGGGGCAGTTTGGCTCATGCGAACCAGAGAATTCCAGGTACCCTCCAGGTGCTAGGTTTGTTCAATCAAGGGTACTTGTAGGCTCTATTTTGCAACCTTTCGCGAATTGGGTTGCGGCGTTTTGGGCTTGCAACACGGTCTCCAAGTGTCCGGCGAATTGTTTGGTTACTCTTGCGACTTTTGACCTGTCGACCCTTCTGGAAGACTTGTTTGACCTTCAGGGGAAGACCCACCCAAATTCGTTGCGGCCCAAGGCTGTGGGGAATCAAAAGGGTGTCCGGAATGAGCTTGGTTCTTTGCGGAAAGCCCGAATTGGATAGGCCATAGCATTTGTCCCTTCTTGTCAGGAATCAACAAGAAATCAAGGGCCTTCTTCTTTTACAATTCTCTTCTTCTCTTCTTCTCATCAAGTTTCTTCTTCTTCTCTGCTCTTCTTCTTTTTCTCAGAAACCCACAATAGGATCCTTCCTCCCAGACACCAGCCAACTTCACGACAGGCGCTGCCTGTGGCGGGGCTGCAGCAGACGCTGGGCATCTCCTCGTCGCCTGGGCGAAATTTGGCCGGGGCAGTGAACCCAAAAAGGCCACGTGGACTTGTAAATGGGGGATTCACCCTAACCAAAAACGTCAGGGGTCCCTATATTTTCCTTTTGGGCGGTAAGCATCACCTTTTTTGCCCGTGAAAGCTGAGGGTCCCTTGGTGGGATGTTTTAAGAAGTGCAAATATAGGGAGCCCTGCAGGTGGTTTGGAGCTCGGTGGTTTGGATTTGGACTTGAAGCCCTGCTTCTTGTTTGTTGTAAATGGGAAACCACTTTGGAAGGGCACCAAACCACCTGAACAATGGGCTTGTTTGGCACTTTAGAACAAGGTCATCAACCACCCACCGCCCTTTATATAAAGGACATGTGTGGCACCAATCTCCAAACAACCAATCAAACGAAAGCTGATTTTTTGGGGTTGAATCAACCATTCTCAAAGCACAACTGGGACCCTGAGTGATAAGCAACTTCCTCAGGATTGATGAAGAGCTTTTTTGGGTACTCAGGCTTTTTTTTGCGCAGCTGTGTCTTTTGCTTGAGGGTACCCTTTCTCGGATCGGTTTTCAAAGGGCAACCACATGGAAAACAACAAATCCTTTTGCAGCCCGGTCCATTTGACCCCCCCCCCCCCCATTTTCCCATTTTGTTTTTTTGCCATGGCGTTTCAGAATATTTGCCGCATTTCATCCTGGGTTCAAGGGGAATCTATCACTACTGAAGATGTGCCATGTTTTTTTTCCAGGATGCTTAGGCAAATGCAGGAAAAGTAGTTTCCCTTCGCTGTTCTTTTTCGGCCCCTCCGGTTTCTCATGGTCTTGTTGACTTTCCTAAGATTTTGTTGGCCTCCGTGGTTGTTTTCTCAGGTTACCCTCAGTGGGTTGTTGGGATTGCGGTTTGGGAGTTTGAACCTTGGTCGAAGAGGGCAAATGGGAAACCGGAAGACCAACCAACCAGTTGGCCGGGACCCAACGCAAGGTGGGATAAAAACATCTGAGCCCCCCACCAAATCCATCCAGACTGCTTTTCGTCCACTGCCTGGTGACCTCTTTGCTCGCTCACGGGAGGATTTGATGACTTTGGTAGATAAAGCAAGCCATGGGTTTGGGTGTGCCTTTCTTTGTGTGCACCTGCTTTGCGGCTGTTTAAAAGGGAAACCGAAGAGAGTCGCCCATCTCCTGACAAAAGCACAACCCTAAGGGTCCCTTGCTACTCGAGGTGCTTCCCTCCCACCCTTGTCACATGGAGCCTGAAGTTCCGGACCCGGTCCCTTTAAAGGGAAACTGCAGAGTTGATGAAGGTGAAAAATGTCACCGGCAGCATCCTACAGAGAATGGAGCGCTTTGAGCCTCAAGAACTGGAGGAGATGCGGGGGTTTAACCCCTGGGATGCTGTTATGATTCTGGATACGGTGGCGAGAATCATGCAACAGGACCGGGCACAGGATGCAGCTGCACCATCAACCGTTGCACAGACCAGATTGCCCAAACGCCTGCGGCCGTTGACGGCTGAAAAAAGCTCGTCAACAGCTTGCCGTGCAAGTTCCTGAAGTGTCCATGCAGGCAAGGTGGGAGCCCAAGCCAGGACCCCCCGAACCTCAGGTTCCACGCTAGTTGGGGGGACCACTTTTCACGCCCAGGGCTTTGGGGCTTTAGGAATGAACCGGTTTTGGGGATTCCCTAGGAAGCCATATGGGATGGTTTTCTGAGGGCTTCCAATTCTCATTCCCGGCAGAGCCAGCAAGTATAGGCCTTACTAGAACTCCTCTTGGACCGGGTAGGGTTTGCCAACGACCTACTACAAAATGGCCAACGATGGAAGCGGTGTTGCGCGCTCACGCTCACAGCACGTTAAACCTCTGTTCACCCCCCAAAACCACTCCACGCAAACGCACATGGCTGTGGGTCAAAACCAATGGTGCCATTTTGGAGTAGGTGCACCACTCATGTTCATCTATTTTAGTAAAAAATGGGATGCAGGCTCCATTTTAATCTATTTTCGTGGGGATTGAATCGGATGTCCACTGGGGGGTACGATTTGGCTTTTGACCAGTGGCCATATCCCGTCAGGTTTGGCACCTGCGGCACCAGCGTGCACTTGATGCTCACCGGCTCATCGCCCCAGCCGCAGGAGCTGCGAATGCAGATCCGTTGGTTTCATTTCTTGGGTGGGGAAGGCCAGAAAATGGAATTGGGGGGGGACCCCCCAGCCCCTCCGAAAAGGTGTGCCTTGTAGTGAGGGGAACACCCTCCCTATGGGACCGGTATTTCAATGTGGGTCGGCATTACAGGGTCACTGGGCTTCCCCTTCGAAAGTTGCAATCTGGTGGGTTTGGAGGTTCCAAAAAGGGAAATGGAGGACACCCTTCGCTCACCTCCCAAACCGGCTGGGGCAAGGATGGGACAAAGATGGCAGTCGAACAAATGTGTGTATTTTCGTTTTACTTGAACACCGCCAAACAATGGGTACCCTCAAAGAAAGCGACACCCATTTCCTTCCACCAGCCCCTAGGCCTGAAATCTGACACTTGGGGCGTGTTTGTTTCTTGAGGTTTGCCCTTCGGCGGAATGGTCCAGGCCAAACCCGCTCCTTGAGGGTTCGGCGCATTTATGGTCCAGGCAAAACCCCGACCCCCGGTTGAAGGCATCAATCTCTACACCTCCCTTTTGAGCAACCTGCGAGCGTTTTGAAAGGCGACGTTTGGCCCCAGAGAGCGCCCCGCCCGTGGTTTCTTTTGCGGGGTCCAACTTGATCGCTAACGTGGTAGGTCGGTCTTTTTTGGAGTGTGCCCCTTTCTGGTTTGGTCCAAAGGGAGACCAAAGGGAATACCGCCCACTTCAAGCGTTCCATTTAGAGCCACCCCCGTATGGGTTTGTCGTTTTTTTGGAGGGCATCCTGTTTAAGCACAGAGCTGCTCAGCGCATGGGGAAGGTTTGGTCTGAACATTTATGGTAATCTATGCCAGAGGGACATATGGGGGGGGACACACAAAATGTCTCCACAAAGTCTGGGGACTCACGCAATGTCCCGGGTTTTTTTGTTTTAGTCAACACATAGTGTGTGTGTGTGTGCGTCTTGTTGAGAGTCACTGTATATTGTGTTGACAGCAAATGCAGTCCTTCAAAGGGTTGGGTTACAGGAAATTCTACAGGCAAACAGCTGATTTAGGGTGTTTTGAAGCCGTTTCCAGGAGTTATTCCTGTAGCCAAGCCTTTTGACCTCTTGAAGCGACCTGCGCAAAATGGACTGTGGCTCTGGTTGCAAGACAGCCTCGCAAGGGCACAAGGGCAGCATCCGATTGAGACGGAACTCGCCAGGACACCTGGCGGACAGGCGCGCGCTCACTGAGAGGAGGGAAGACGCGTTTCTTTTTTCGGGAGCCATACGGGGCCAAGAACTTTCCCAAACTTCCATTTGCTGAAATGAATATTTTTGTGTATTTCCACCAACCAGGTCGACATTCTTCCCACTGGCGGCTTCAACTCGCAGGCTTCCATTTGCTGAAGATTTTTTGTTTTTAATTTTAACCTGTTGGTTTCAAAGGGAACCTATCACTACTGGAAATATGTTTTTTCTTTTTTCTTTTTTGGATTTGTTTCAGGGGGCTTAAGCAAATGGAAGCAAATGGAAGCAAAGGGTATCAAAAAAAGAGTTCGATCCAATGGGTGGTTCTCCTTTCGGTCATTTAAAGCCACTCCAAAACAGGTATCCTCAGAAAAGAGACACCCAGACAGGAATCTTATCAGATACTCTTTGATTCTGAATTACCTTGGGCTGTTACACTCCGCGACTCTGCTTTGGTCGATTTTATCATTTACCAAGTACCTTGCACCTTCACTGACCATATATACCATGTACATTGTATCACCTACTCTGGCTTTGGCGGGACACGGGGAGGGGGGGAGACGGCTGGGGTGGACCAACGAACGAAGCAAGCATGTCCATAGTCGGCCTTCAACCTGAAATTTGTAGCCGGGTAGACCCTCTTCCATTTGCTTAAGAGTATGTGTGTATTTCCCCCTGGTGCTTGAAAGGCTTTCCAGGGATCGGAGTCTTTCTAAACCACCAAAGGCCCTGGGAAACGGATCTCTGCGAAAAGAAGGATGGCCGAAAAGAAGGCGCGAGGAAAATATCCCGAAGTTGCCCAGGATGTGTCTGGAGTCAGCTGTGGTTCATGTTTCCTGACCGCGTTTTCTTTCAGCTTGGACTTGGAGTTGTTGTGGAGGCTCCCTGCGACCGGGTGCTTCACCCTTTGCACCCCTCGGTGTTTTTGTTTTTTAGGCCGGCTTTTTGTGAAGGTGCCCTTTTCGGGGTTTGCAGCGGAAACCACACATTTCAAGGGTTCCATTTAGAGACATGCTATATGGGTCTGTGTTTTTTTCTCGAGAGTATACAATTTTAAAGGGAAACCAACAGGACTACCGCACTGGATTTTAGCGGGTCCCCTGAAAGAAGGAAATACCCACATATATATATATATACATATATATGGTACAGCGTTGCCAGCCCCTCCCCCCTGGGTCAGGCAAGTACCCCCCCCCCCCCTGTGGTTGTGGTCCTGTGGTTGGGTTGTGGTGGTTTAGGGTTGGTTTAGAAATGGTTTAGGGTATATTTAGGGTGTATTTAGGGTTAGTTTAGGGTTGGTTCAGGGTTGATTTAGGTTGATTTATGTTGATTTAGGTTCAGAGGTGTACGGTTTAGGGTTTGGCTTAGGGTGTATTTAGGGTTGGTTTAGGGTTAGTTTAGGGTTGGTTTAGGTTTAGGGTTTATTGTTTAGGGATTGGTTTAGGGTGTATTTGGGGTTAGTTTAGGGTTGGTTGAGGGTTAGTTTAGGGTTGGTTTATGTTGATTTAGGGTTGGTTTAGGTTTAGAGGTCTACGGTTTAGGGTTTGGTTTAGGGTGTATTTAGGGTTGGTTTAGGGTTAGTTTAGGGTTGGTTTATGGTTGGTTGCGGGTTGGCTTGTCCTGGGGGTGGGGGTGGGGGTGTCGGGGTGTCGGGGTGCGAGTTCAGGGGTCGGGGTGGGGGCTCGGGGTCTCGGGCCGGGGGGGGGGGGGGGGTCCTGGGGGACCATACCATATGGGGGGGGGGGGGGGGTAGCAACACGGAACACGGGACCATATATATATATACCCATATCATGGTGGAGCGTCTCTACCATATATAGAACTACATATACATGTAAGTATACATACACACATATATATATATATATGGTATATATATATATGGATCCCTGTACCAAATCGACGCCACTGCAGGTAAAGAGCTGCACTGGTTCCCGGCCAAGCCGGCGCCGGCTGAGGTGAGCGATAGGTGGTGCGTGTGGTTCAACCAGCCATCTGCTTCAACCTGGCTCTTTATATCTGTTTAGTTGGTTTAGTTGCTCTTTTTTGCTGGTGCCCTTCCGCTAATTAACATGGCACCTGGAAAAAGGGGGGGTACAGGGGACGTGTAGGAAGGCTTGAATTTGACGGGTTTCGGGCTGGGGATAAATGACCTGGGCGCTTTTTCTTTTCTGTTTTTTGGGACTTCGCTTGGTGCTTCCTTCCCAGCCATCCGGTTCAACATAGTTGTTTTTGGTTCTTTTAGTCGTTGAAAGGTGGGTGGGTTTCCGTATTTAGCCCCCAAGTTAGTCACTTTTAGCAAGATCTGAAAACGGACCGCCAAGTGGCATCATTGCACTCTGTGGCAATATTGGCCATCCGGTCCCTTAGGTGTTTAGCTGTTTTTACTTGGTTTGGTGAGGGGGAGTGCCATTTATATGTCTCATAAGTTATTCAATCAAGTAGGGGATTTGAGGACAGCCCAGTGGGTGCAATCCATTTGCAATGGCTAGGTTGAAGGTCCACGGACCCGTAGTTAAGGTCTCAGTTGTCCAACACCGGCCTTAAACACCTTTGGTTTTTCCATTCTGGTCCATAAATCCAGGTGTCAAAAGGGAAACCCTTGTCCAAGGACCTGGCCAGTGAGAAACTGATGAACAAAGCAGTTGACGCAGATCTAAAAGATATGAACAACTGAATTTTGAAGGGTATGGCACCGGATGGCAAAGGATTCAGATGGATCTAGATGAACTGAGTTTTTTTACTCTCACTTGCCAGGACCTTGGAAAGAAGTGAGACGTTCTCTTGATGAGTAATCTGTCATTTGTCACCTGTCATCTTGATGATTAGTTCTCTAGGTCCCCCAGTAGTGCCCTCTTACACCTTTTTTGGGGGAGGGTTCCCCTACCAAAATCGACAACCAAAAAAGTTGGTACCCTTATTCTAACCTCTCTACTAGGGGACCTAGGTTATACCGAACAATTTGCTCTCTTAATGAGTTTTGACAGACACGAAAAGACGTGAACCGATTTTTGTTGGCCGAGACTTGGCCGCTCTAAGACCCACCGATCCTTAAAGGGAACAAGGCTCCATCACCACCAAGCGGGTCCAACAGGACGGGCATAGTACAGCCATATGTATATTATACGTATTATCATGTGTATGCACATGCATGTCTATGTTGTATGCGTGTATATATATATATATACACATATTCATATGCATGATACAGCTAAATGGTTTGCAGTTGCTTAATCTTTCGAGCTTGTTCGAAGCTGGTCCGTGTGTTTGATTTTCGATGGGAACGCGTGGCTCAGATGTGCCACATGAAAGTGTGGTTCTGAAAACTCTTCGACAACCTGGGGATTGTTTTGTTTGGTTGGGGATCCAGTTGTTTTACTCGCCCCGGTTAGTGCTTTCCCCCGGTTGACTAGTTGGAAGGTTGGTGGGTTGCTTGGCTGCAGCCGGGCCACGAAGGTTCGCACAAGAACCTGCCTCCTGCAGAACTTGCGCGGAAGATCTGAGGAGTGGCATTCTGGAGGCTCAAGCCTGTGTTATCCCTGAGCCTTTGAAGGCGCGGATCATCACAAAGGGTGATGCTCCCTCCTACTACGCAGTTATGCCTCTGCAAAAGGACAGTTGGAAGCACTTGGTAGTGCGGACGGAGGACGAAGCAGCTGCTGATACCTGGGATTGCACATGATGTACCCAGCTTGCGTTAATGATGTTTTTTTGTATATTAGGCCCAACTGCTACCTGTGCTTTGCAAGTGGTTGAATGTGAATCCTAAATGGGGGACCCTAAATGGATTTCCTCTGGTTTGCCTTCATCAAGCAGGCACGCAAAGAGGTGGTAGCTCTTCACTCAATTTGTCATGGACCTACTAGGACTATCCCCCAACATGGATTTGCTAGGGCTGTATTGGAGCACACGAAACCGGGTTTGTCTCAAGATCGGGGGACCCCTTTTTGGATGGTTTTAATGGGAAACCAAAAGCACCATCTACCTGGTTTCCCCCCCTGTTAGAAACATGCAATGGCTTTGGCGCGTTCAAGTTGCTCAGGTTTTATCATGGAACCTGACGTTCGGGGGGTGGTGTCAAGGGACCGGGGCCCGAACTTCATCCATGTGTAATTGGTGGGAAAATATGTCATAGGGCCAAACCGTACAAGCTGGAGATGCCCCCCTCGAAGTCTGATGTCCAAAACACCCTTAAGTTTGCAGGTGCGATAGGTAGGGCATGACCGAGTCCTGGTGTTGGGAATGAACCGGTTTTTGGGATTCCCTTGAAGGAAGCAATAGGGGATGTTTATTGGGTTTCCGTTTCTCATTCCCTGCTGAGAACCAGCAAATAAACCTCGCACAGATCAGTTTCACCCGAAGAAGCCAGCCCCAGGGAATTGTTCGCACTCTTTTCAGAAACCCTGCCACCCCGCCCCCCCAATGGTATCCCCCCCGGCTGGAGATGGTTTCTTAGATACCGGAGCTCTGTGCAGACCAGCTACTACATCACCGGCAGTTTCAGCTGCTGGGAGCCGGTCAAGATGCAGGCGTCACGTGCTCGACATGGCCGTGTGAAAGGGGAGCCTCCAAGAAGACGAGTGGCTTTTCCTTGTGGCTTCCCTTTAAAACAAATCCAAAAGGGGGGGGGGGTTTCCCGCAAAGACAACCCCACATGGTGTGTGGATGGGTGCTTCCCTTTTCGTTTCCCATGTTTTCCCTTTAAAGCAATTCAAAAGGGGGTACCCTAAGAAGAACATGACACTCCAAATGGTGTGTGGGTTGAGGGTTTGGTGGGCTTGTTCAAAGGCATTCCGCAAGATCCTTGTTTTGAGATGCGCAAGGATTTGGTGGGATTGTCTAGCCCCATTTTGCACAGCCTAGACTAGTTGGTTGTTTTAAAGGAAAGCCAAAAAGAAACCATGGAAAGAATGGGTTGGACTACAGCTTAATCCCCTATTTGCTCGTGTAGACATCACCTGAGTCAAGTTTCAGGCCGCATTCTCTATGTATGGGTGTGTCTTTTGACCGGGGAGAGACCCCCCAAAATAGTGGTTTTCCTTTTGGTTTCCATTGAAAATCCCCACAAAAAAGGGCACCCTCGAAAAAAGATAGACCTGTCAAGGAGAATAGAGCAAATGACCCTGAAACCAAGGCGGCTTCTTTTTTTCTTCGAGCCGACCTCTTGACCTCCAGTTAGTGAGAATACTTCGTTGTTCCATTGGAGGCTCGTGTTCGGCACAGGTCTGGAGCAAGGCAAGAGAGTCGGTTTTGAGAACGGAAAAAGACCTATCCAGACAAGTGGGAACCTGTGATGAATCAGAACCCCTCGTTTATCTTGATGAGAGTCCCCTTTTGAAGCGACCAAACAATAGCCCTGTCATGTGCCCTCCGGACGGACTCTCGGAAGCGATGTAAATGGGACATTGGATGCACATGCAACGGGAAGGGTTGAGAGCCAAAAAGCTATGTGGGATTCCTGTCGTAGCAGAGACACTCCCGAGACTTGCTGTTTGGCCTTAGAATTTTAAGAGGGGACCACTTCCAAGGTATGAATCCCGCATAATTTGTGATGGTCTGCCAAAGGGTCTATTGAATTCACACCCGTTTAAAGGCCCAGGGGGTTTTCGCCTGGTGATTTCGAGGGGGTTCCGAGTGAAACTCACTTCCCGAGTTCGTGGACTTTACACTTTTTGGGAAAACCGTTCTAGTGGCATAAGAAATGTTTGTGTTTTCTGGGCTGTCCAGGAAGTGAGAAGATCAACGACCGAAGTCTGAGGGTCTTCATGTTCCCATGCTGTTGTTTTATTCATGGAATGCAACTCAGGGGTCGAAAAGTGGGTGACGGGGGTGGCTAGTTGAGAGTTTGTTTCGGACTCCGCAGGGAGCCTGAGAGAGTCCCTTGTCCCTGGCCCACCCCCCCGAGGACTCCCATCGCTGGAGGTTCCGGTTCCCGTGTCGACAGGTGGAGGCGGAGGGGGTCTACGCCTTCACCATGGTCCTGGGCCGGAGCTCTCAGAACCGAAAGACGCTCGAGGCGCCGCATCGGAGCGGCAAACGAATCTCGGGGAACATGTGGCTGTGGTTGTCAAAACTGTTTTGGGATCCCATGTTTTGGGGGTAGGTGCACCACCCATCTTAGAACCGATTTTAGTGGGGGGTCAAAACCGTTTTGGGATCCCATTTTGGTTGGGGAATTCACCACCCATTTTAGAACCTATTTTAGTGGTTGGATTGGGATGTTCACTGGGGGTACGATTTGGATTTTGCCCCATGGCCATCTGGCCCTTGAAGCCCTCGCCTTGGGCGAACAGCACCGCGCCTGCAGCACCTTCTGCCGCGACGTGGTCTCCTTGTGCGGAGAAGTTTTGGGTCGGGGTGCACCGTAGCTTGTTTTTTCCGTCTCCGGCACTCAGCCCGGCTTCGGTTCGGGACAAAGAACAGTCCTGTAAGGGTCATTAATATTATAATACAAGTATGCGGGTTTCTAGGTTGACTCAACATGGCCCAGAATCAAACATCGGGTTCTGGGTGGGCCAGCTTCTGCAGTGGCTTTGGGGCAATTAAGATGGGCTTGCTTGAGATGCCAACAAGGGACCTGTAGGCTTCAGATTAAACCAAGCCAAGCCTTCATTTAGGTACCTTCACCCCTACCTCCCCCGAACCATCAACTCAAATCGTCCTTTGGGTTCCCTCTGAGATCCCTGGGACTTCTTGAGAAGCAGCGGCTCGGTGTGCAACGATTTCGGGCGCCGAGCGCCGATTTCGCCTGAGGTGAGAATCGCTGGGAGAGCTTCCAGATCTGGGAGGATGGAGACTCCAACAAGGCCGCGCTGCACTTTTTTCGTGCCGAGAAATCAGCTCGGCAGGGAGAAACCCATTGCCACCTCAAGCGATAGCCTGAGGGTCTGTTGAGATAGATTTTATTTTCCCCCCTTTTTTTTCTATTAAATCTTAAGGTTGACGAAAAGCAGAAGCATACCTGAATCTTCCGGGTGTGCATTTTTGCCTTGGTCGAACAAATGATTCTTCATTGCCAAAGTATCGTTTCAACATTGGCTGGAAACATGGTCGGGGAAAGTCACCGTTTCGCCTTCATGGATTTGTCCCAGAGCAGCAAAAAGGTTTAAAATGTTTGGAGCTTCAAGCAAGTGCCGTTTGCCTGAGAAAGCAGCGGTGTGTGTCGGGCGTGTTCTTTGCTCGCCCAAGGCCTAAGCAAGACAAGTGGTGTTATTTTGGGGGTTGGGGGTGGTTTTGAAGGACACCAACAAATCCCCATACTGGGAGAAGCATCCAGAAAAGCTTGCTTGTAGCATGTTTCACGGCCTGCCGATTTTTTTCGGGAAGCCCTATTCTGCAAACTTTGTTGTCTGTTGGATGTGCTTGGTTCACTTCCATCTGCCAAAGCGTAGAAACAAGAGTAGCACGCGCTTTTTGCCGTATCCAATCATTGCAGGCTGAAGGGCTTGGTTGATATTGTCTTCGTGTCGCCATTCGGGTGCGGCTGCACCTTCAGGAATGGCTGGGTTCCTGCCAGACATGCGCTTGCTTACCCCATAGGCGTAACGCTCGATGAGAGAGAAGCATTTTCTTCCGATCGAGATGTGTGGAAATATGATACCCCTGCAGTGACGTTGAAATCACTCCCCAGAAAACGCGCGCACATGCATGAGTCTCGGAAAGCTGGCGATCCTTGGTGCTGCACATGCACTATATGTATATTATATATATACACATCTATGCACCAATCTAATATAAAGAAAACATATGTAAATAAATCAATAAATAAATAAATAAATAAATATCTCTCTCTCTCTCTCTCTCTTCAGCATGTCAAATGGCCAGTTGGATCTTTCCCCCCAGCCTCGAATCGCCAGGTGCTCCATCCGGGGACCCACTGGGCGGACCAGGACGCAGCGGTGCTGGGGCCCTCCCCGCAGGTCGAACCTTTCGGCGAATCGGCGAAGCGGTCGTGGGTTCGGGATACGCCCGGGCGGGCGTTTTTTTTTTTTTGGTTTTCCGTTTTTTTTGTTTGTTTTGTTTGTTGTTGCTATTTTTTGGGGGTTTGGTCAAAATGGGGAGACGCCTTCAAGATCGATTTGTGCTTTAGTACAGGTGTTTTGTCAACTTACGGGTCCCCTGAAAATGGTGGGATTCCTCTTGGTTTCCCCTTAGATACCAAAGCAAAATGCGGGTCCACCATGTTGAGAAAGTTCCATTGTTTCGAGGAATCAGCACGTCCACTTCACACCTTTGGATAGAGCACCGCAATTTATCAATGTGCTGCCGCGTTGGACGTGACAACCACACGACATCTGCACAGTTGCAAATTGCATGGATGAGCGAAAAAGAGGCAACCTGAACCCTCAAGATTCGCTTAAAATTGGGTTATTACTCAACATTATGCCTGGAGCAGCACGCAGCGTTGGGACACAGGTTGAACTTTGTTGAGGGGTTCAGACTTGGCATGCAAGCGGACTTCGATTGATATTAGAATTTCTTGCTGGCCCAGAAATGCGATAGCGAGTGCAAACGCACCAAGGAAAGCGAAGTCGGCAGAGCTTGCTTCCGACCGCATTTTGTGGAAGCAGACAAATTAGCTAAAACAGTTTGTCAAGTCTGATGGCAGTTCTCCTTTTTGCAATTAATTACAAACACAGGAAACAACAAAGCATTCTTCGGTTCCACGATTATACACACGAGGTATATGTAGTTTTGTGTGAAATTGATGTTTCTAAAACAGACCTCTGAACTTGTCTGTTTTGCCGGAGACTTGCCACTGAGTCGTCGTAACTCACCTCGTCACATTTCCCCGGCACGATGTAAGTGCTTCGACGGGGGTCATGGGGACTGTGAAAGATACATATTCAGTCATTAGAAGAGAATTATGCGTGCAATAAGTGAGGCGCTTATGTTTTTGGCAACCACGCCGATAAACAACTCCTTCTGGAAGGTGCAACGACCTGGCGTACACCTTTAATCGCTCCAAATGTACGTACCCTGCCAACAGGCAACCAGAAGCTAGGGATAGAGGACCAGTGCTGCTTAGAGCAAACAAACATCTTTGGGGTTCCCGTCTCCTTTTCCTTCCTTATTCTTCTTTTGCCTTCTCCTTATTGCCCCTCTGTTTACCTTCGGAGTCCTCCTCCCCCTTTTTCTTCTCCTTTTACCTTTCTTGCTTTCCTTCCCCACACTTCTGTGTGTGCGTGTGCTCGTTGTTGAAGGAAGGTTCCATGTTGGCTTGCTGGATGTGTAGTTGGAGTTCCCCATTTGAAGCAAAGCGGGCCACTTGGGTGTTTCGCAAAATGAGGTGGAGCAATTCCTCCAGCTCTTGCGGTTTCTTGAATGTTGAAATCCGGCGGAAGGGGCTCCATTTGAACCAACGCCACTTGGCTCGACGGACCAAGCCCTTGGCTTCTTCAGGGGGTCCATTTGAACCAAAGCCACTTGGCTGGGGACAGCAAATCCTTGGGCCATAGTCCCCTCCCTAAAGACGCGGAGTCAACCCTTGGGCTGGGCGCCTCGCCGCCTCGCGCCCCGGGCGGCGAAGATCTCGCTTGCGTCGCTCGGATGTCGTCAGAAGCTCTGCGGCCGCTTTGCCACCTGGCGCCTCTGCGGGAAGCCGACAAAGGCTGGCAGCTTGGGAGGGCTGGGGGCAAAGGCGGGTTGGAGGGCTTGGGAGGGGCTTGAGAGGGGTGGGGCCCAGCTGCACAAAAAAGACAAAAACCGCAGGCCCCGCGCCTTTTTTTTTTTGTGTGTGTGTCTGTTTGTTGTTTTTCCCCTTTTTTTTTGTTTCTCCGGGAAGCCTTTAGGGACTAAGCTAAATGGAAATAGTTTGCTCTTAACGAACACATGTGGTGTCTAGAAACAGGGGGAAGTTCCTCAAATTTTCGGTGGCCTTTTGTTTTCCTTGTGAATCCACACCCAAAACACCAAACCAACAATGCCTCACCCATGTCTTCAACGTACCCAGCATTCCAATTCTGTAGGCCCCGCGACGAGGGCAGCCGTGTCCACCTACCTTTGTTTAATTCACAGGCCAACCTCCTGAGAAAATAAGCAGTTTCTGACTACAGGCAAAGCGGATTTGTTAGGTTTCGGGCTACCCCTTAAGCATCAATGGAGGGACCAAAGCAACTTATCCGAGTGGTGGGATTAGTGGCCAATCCTCCAGTTTTTAGACGGTTTCATCCATCCCGACTGGTGTGAAGTAAACTTTGTCCATCAGAAGGGTTCCCTTCAGATTCCGGAACTGAGCCTGCGTTAGCATAAGACGGATCAAGGGTTTGGACCCCGGCCCATGGCCGTCCCAAGATTCTCACGGTGGACATAACGCAATTTGCTCCACGGCTTTGTCCCCAAAATGAGGTGGTGGTTTTCCTTCGCTCACTTCCGGCACTCCTGGACTTCAAGCTTTTGAGGAACGCCAATTTAGTGGTAAATAGCAAGTTTGTCCGCTCAGGAAGTGAGTTTGGTTTTCGGGATTTCGGGAGGATTCGATTCACGGGTCCCATATTGAGGCGTGTTCCATTGACCCTGTTGTCTGATTGCCATTTGTTCCCTGATCAAAAGACAAGAGTTCCTTTACTTTACTGGGGTAGACTTAGGATACATTTTAGATTTCATCACGACTCAAAGTGAAGCAAACAATAACATACACATCTTATAAATGGGCCTAGCTCTAATCATGTTTAGGGACGGTCATGGACTTAGGTCCTTAGGTAGTTTACACCCTGGCAAAGATCTGCTGATTTCGATGACCCGCACACAAAAAACAACAACACAAAACGGGGAGTTTTGAGCACTGATTTGGGGTCGCTCGATGTGACTCACGACCGCGCAGGTTCGGCTCTTGAACGAGGAGCAGGCGAGGGAGTTGGATGTGGACTTCAGCTCCGAGGCGGGTGCTGCACGCACTCGGCGAGGTAGCCGTTTGGGTTGCAGGGTGAAACCAAGTGGGGAAGGTAACCCCCGAATTTGTCCAAACCACCAAACCAAGCCGCCAATTTGGGATAAGGTGAGGCTGGCAACCAGTTCTTGGTGGTTTGGGTTAGTGGGGATTTGAATCCACGGTTCTTGTGGAGAGTAAATGGAAAACCATCCTAAACCAATCCAAAGTAATGCAATCCAATCCAAACCAAGAGGGAAGCTGAGTGCATTGAAAGGAAGGCTTTGGAGCTTTGGAGCTTTGCCATCGATGCCTAAAGCACAACTGCCTCGGCCGGCCGGATCAGGAGATGCGGACCTACGTGGGAGACGTGGAGTTCCGATTGCTTACGGCCTTCCCAGGCAAGAACTGTGCGAGTTGGGTTGGTTGACCGGGTCAGGCGTAAACAAGGCTTTCGAACGAACGTATCCGAGTCTCTGAGCACTGAGTGCGCGACCTTTAGGGAGTTTGGGGGTGGCCAAACAGAAAAGCACAGCAACAAGGCTTTCCTCAATACATGGGACCCTCATACTTCCCTCGAAGAAAAACAAAACAAACAGGGATTCACCCCGTAATTTCGAGCAATACCCAATGTTTAAGGGTAGTTTGAGAGTACAGGTACAACCCCATTTTATTAATACGGAGTGGTCCCCTGCAAAAGTGAGGATTTTCCAGGAACACCCCCTCTCCTTTTCACAAGCTGGGGTTGTTTGAAGAACAAGGTTAAAGGAATTGCACCGGCTTTTTCGGACGCATCTTTTATCAGCACCTATACGTGCCATGGCCCAAAGACTGGTTTACTTGGGGTTGGTGGGGACGGTCAAGGTGTGAACCCCTGTTGGCTGTGGACTAGTGACCAGTGAGGAATGCATCAACTCATGAGCCTTACTTGCCGCTTGTTTGTTTGGCCCAAGGTTCCCTCAATTTTGACCGCTTGCACGCCCAAGTGCGGTTGATAAGAACCAAAAATAATGACGAGCACCGTCCCATGTCCCACGTGTGGCAGCAGCATATTGTTGACCGCAAAATCAGCAGGGTTTCGGCTTTTAATGCGCAACGCAAACGTTGAAATACGATAAACTATTGATGTTACATCAAGAGGCCACACATTTAGGTGGCATTGTCAACCGGCTGTTCCAACATCCCCAACACCGATTTGGGCTTATCTCAAAACAAGCTGCGCCTCAAAGTATGCTTGCTTTTGTCCCCGGGTTCCCCGTCGGCGCAAAAGGGCACAAACATCCAAGACTTGCTGGTGCTCAGCAGAGAAGTTGGAGCGATCCCGAGAAAAAAAAACCATCGACCCCATGGCTTCCGTTCAGGGAAATTCCGTTCGCTTCATTCCCACCACCCGGGCTGGCTCTTTCTGGCGCCCTGCAGCGCCAGCGAGAAGAAGAAGAACAGGAAAGGGCGAGCAGTTTTAAAAAAAGGAAGGCCCCAAACGGCAATTCTTTGGTGTTTCTTTGAGCCGCCCAGAATCCAGGTGCATTTTGCTCAAAAAAAAACTCGGCGGCCCGGCAAAATTTTGCCCCGTGGCAACCAGTGGGAGGTCTCCGCATTTGTAGGTGACTACCAGCCCGAGGGGCTAGAGGATGGCGAGGCTCCGGCAACGGCGCCCAGAGGGCGGAAAAGCGGGGGAGGGTCATTGGACGGTTTCTGAAACTGGAGAGGTTGGGGGTGTTTTTTGTTTTTTCCACGGTAACACCTGTTTGTGGGTGGGTTTAAACTGAAAGGGACAGCTTTTGAGGGTAACATGTTGGTGGGTGGTTGTTAAAGTGAAACCACAAGGAAGGACAATGGTCTTCCACCAATTAACAGTAACATCGAACTGAACAGGGGGCCTCTTTAAAAGGAGAATGGTCCAAACCAGGACCCCCCGAACGTCAGGTTCCATGTTATTTGGTGGGAGGACATTGTTCTTCTTAGGGTACCTTTTCTTTTGTGGTTTGAATTGTTCATCATACTAACCCCCCCCCCCTGCTTGGGCATTGGTTTGCAGGTAGTGTCAAGAGGCGCGCCCCAAGCCCCCGGCGCGCCGCGCGCCCCGGACGAGTCTGAGGTCGTGGATCAAGACCCTCAGCTCTTGGGCATGCCCGGGGACTGCCGCTCGGCCGAATGTGAGGCGGAACTTCCACTTAAATGGCTGAAAGGAATACCCTCCCTATTTGCCCCTGTTGGTTTTAAAAGGAATCGATTTCGCTACTGGAAATATGTTTATGTTTTCCAGGGGGCTTAAGCAAATGGCAGTGAAAGAGTTGGCGGAGAGGCAGCGACAAGAAGTTGGCTCAAATGGGGGGGGGGTTCTTCTTCAGAGTTGGGTAATCGAGCCCCTTTTCCCCACTCCGAGGAAGTCCATTACACCAACCACAAAAATCGTGCTAACATAAACAAACCTCAACAATATCGCACAAAAATCCCACAAACATCACACCAACCTCCAAAAAAGGTACCCTAAGAGTCAGAGTCAGAACATATATTTTAAGCCCCGGCTGAAGGCCACGGGGTCTCTGCATAAGCTCTGGGGTGGTATGGGCCAGCTTTCAGGGAGGGTTCAAAAGGAGGGTTCCAGTGGGTCCCAGGGGCTGTTGGGGATTAAGTTGATCCCAGATTTTCATTAAAGCCAGTTTATTCATAGGGGGGTGGGTTTTGGCCCCTCCAAAAGTGGTCTGATTCCCCACTAAACTCAGGGGCTTTCCATCATGAACAAGCTGGGGTTGAGACAAATATGCGGTCCACATTGGCTGGGTCCCAGATCTGGGGCTTGGAATACAAAAAGCTGAAATCGGAAGCGAACAACAAATCCGGGGGTTTTCCACGAATGTGGAAACACGCACTGAGGGGTTTGCGTGTGGAAGTTTGTATTTCTTAGTTGCGGCTATGGGGGGTTCCTTGTGAAATTGGTGTTATCCATGTTGTTTTTTGTTTAAAAGAAAGACTCAGTTGTTCAGTGGCACCCTTTTTCCCTTTTTTGGGTGGCTGCCCCACTAAAAACGGTCTTCCCCAAAAAGGGTTCCTTTTTAGGCGTCTGGCTCCAAGGTCTTTCGCCTCAGGGTTCTGGGCACCCGGGGCGTGGCGACTCCTCCCTGGAGCGTCACGCGTCTACTAAGGTGGATACCCATCTCCGCCGCCCCGCCTTTGCTCCTGTGGCCGCCACCCCGCTGCCCTTGCCCTTTGCCTTCCTGGCTCTTGTGCGTGCTTGGGCTTTTGCGGTGTGGCTGTTGGCTCCTGCCATGTTGACGCGTGACCCTCTTGTCTTGCGTGCTCTGGGCTCCTTGTCGGACCGCGCCCTTGGCTCCCTCGATGGCCTGATCGAGCAGGGCACCTTCTTCCAGAGTGCCGAGCCTCTCATGTGGCATGGGCAGGCCCTGATTCAGTTCCGGGTTGATGCCCAAACTGGCGATTCCACCTGGGAGTGTTCCCTCTTCTCTCCCGGTCTGCCGCCTGATTTGCATGCTACCCCACGTGCTCGGCGCCTTCTTTTCACGTTTGAGCTCCGGGCTCCTAGCTTCTTTCAGGCCTTGCTGCAGCCGGGTGAGCAGCACTTTCGTGCCTTTGGGGTCACCCTTCAACCTGGCACCATCCCCCGTGTGGCACGGGTTGAGGAGGATACGGCCGTATGGAGGATTGCCGCTCTCGGTCACCCATCTCTTTGCTGGCGCCTTCCATGGTTGGGGTCAGGCCCTGGAATGCATTTGCAGGTCCCTTGGTCTTGAGGTCGCCCATGAGGTCCTGGTGGACAACTCCCCGATCGTGGTTTCAGCCCAGGCGGCCACCCTGGACATTGAGGCTGTGCAGTCGCAACGGATGTCTAGCTGGGTTCCGACCCCTGCGCATGTGGCGGTCCTGGCCGACGTTGGTGACACGTCGCTCCTCCATGTTGTCCCCTGGACTGGATGCCACGTGGCCACTGCCTCTCCCCCGTGTCCCCCTTGGTCTCGTGCCTCCTCACTGGATGGTCTGGAGGTCCCCGCTGGTGTTTGTTTCCTGGAGACCATGTTATGGGCCCGGCGTGCCGCTCCCTTGGCACTGTTGATGGAGTGTGTGGATGCTCTCCCTGTTCACCCTCACTACCCCATCATCCTGGCCTTCATCCGATGGGCTGGATTCACTGTGCATACCACCATGCTCCATAACCATGCTGTTTTCGGTCCCTGCACTCGTCGCCGATGGCTTGCTGTGTTGATCCGGCATGACGTGGAGGTGCCGCCCTCCCAGCCTGTTGGGCTCTTCCAGGACCCCTCTCCGGTCCCTTGGACGCATGAGTCCTTCCAGGTTCAGGAAGCCCCTGAGATTGACCACGCGCGTCTCCTTGATGCCGCCACCCTGCCGTACTACACCAATCCTGCATACCTTGCAGGGGCGGGACTTGAGAGCTCGCGTGATGTCCTCCTGAGTCGCATCCCCTCTCCCGACGCTCCTCTGCGAACCCTTTGTGCCAGGTACAGCCAACAGCACCTGCTGGCTGCGGACACACTTGCCGACCGAGGGCTTTTTGCCCAGCTCACTTACCTTGATGAGCGGCCTGCCTTCCTCTCACCTGCCCAGTGGGCATTATGGCTGGGTGCCACTCGCCCCCTTGTACTCCTCCCACCCTTGGAGGATGTGTTTGCTGGTCTTGGCAACTCTATTTCGGTCCCTCAAGCTGCCATCCCTTGGGCCATCATGCTGAGCCTTTTTGGGCTCGTGCCGCATGAGCCCGAACCCCTTGTGCTGCAGGTTTGGAGGAGTCGCATGTGGGGACCACATCTCCATGCTGCCCTAGTCAGGGGTTGGTACTACATCGGCCCGCTGGGGCCCCTGCTGGACTTCGCCCTCCATCCAGGGTCCCCCCATTGTGGTCCGGGAGGAGGCTTACCCCCTCCTCTACTTTGCCTACCGCTTGGGCATTGCCCGCACCGCCATCTACTCACCGGGCGGTTTTCGGGTCGAAGTTACGTATCCTGTTGGTGCCACTGTCGCTCTTGTCCTCTTCACTGCTCGTGTGCCACCTGTGGTCTTCCCTCATGTTGCTCTCTCTTCCTTTGCCAGAGTCTGGGATCTCCGCGAGCCTGCCCATGACCTCACGGGCCACATTCTCACCGTGGTCCCGGCACAGGAGCCTGAGGAGTTGGAACCACAGCCTACTCCGGTTCCAATGTTCCCTCCCCAGGTCACGGTCCATTTCCACGACCCACTGCGGAGGGAACACTCTAGGAGTGTCCCACAACACGTTACTCTTCGGCAAGTCCCCCTGCCCGACCGCCTTCTCATGCATGTGCGACCCTACATCCAGGGACGTGGCTGGAGGCGGAGCGGGCTCACGCTCTCCTGCGCTTTCTGAGCCCCCTTCTGAGGATGAAGAGATGGTCCTTGAGGACCCTTTGGCTCGATGCGATCCGTGGGCCTCTCCCCCGGGCCTCCCTGGCCCTATGCGGTTCTCCACTCGTCAGGAACCCCGACCCCATGCCAAATGGGAGGACCTTTCGCTCCCCCCCTCCCATGCCTTTGGGCTTGTTGGAGATGATGATGTCCCAGCTTTGGTCCCCAGAGGCCAACTTGGACCTCTGGTTTCTGGCCTGGCCTTCTGCCCCGTCAGTGTCCTCGCTGAAAGCCTTCGCTTGCAGGTTGTTGGCCCCACTGCCCTTATCGTCCCTGGCAATTCTAGAACCACTCTGCCTTCCCTGCCTTCCCACCTTGCGGTCGAAGGGCCCATGCAAATCAGTGTTCTGGATGCTCAGGCCGGGACCACTTACAAGCGCCAGGTCCTGCTTGTCCATCTCATTCCTGGCATCGTCTACCGGCCGGCCACTGCTGATGCGGTCATCATCGACACTGATGATTTCGTTGAGCTTGTCGTTGAGGTCTTCGAGAAACTTGCCGCCGACTTCCCGGCTTATGTCGGGCGCTCTATGTCGGACCTTCGCGGCCTGCTTGAAGGTTTTCTCCCTGAGGGTGCGTTGCAGTCCTGCTACGCCCTCAGAATCCTGCAGGGCTCTCCGCATGGTCTTGGCCGAGTCTTTCAGATCACCCTGAAAGTCCCACTCCGGCTTCGACTGGCATGTCTGAGGCTCTCAGGCACCAGCTCTCACTTTGTCCGTGATTTCCTGGCACGAGGCAACGACCCCCTTGATCACTCCATTGTGCACAGGTTCTGGCCGCTCACCCCTGATGGTACTCGCTCTGCTCTGGCGGTCACCCGCGCCCTTGAGGGCTTCGCTGGCCTTGCCCCTTTGAAGCGTGGCCTGGTTGTACGCATCCTCAACGCCCACCTTGCGGCTGCCCGTTGGGCCCTCCTGCAGGATGACCCCCGTTTTTGTGAGGCCAATCGAGCCTTGGTCCCTCGGGTTAACTACCTCGCCGAGGGTCTGCCCTTTGGGGCCACGCCTGGTGCCATCTCGGAGGCTGTCCTCAAGGCTGTCGGGGTCCCCTGCATACCCCTCCGTTCTTTTCGGAGGAACGGCATCTTGGTCTGGGTCCTCGCTTTCGGACAGGATCCGCCCTTGTTGGAGTTCCCCCTGCTCTCTGCGGGCCGTCCCTGTGAGGTACTCCTTGCCTTGGAGCCACCTGCCTCCTCTCGAGCTAAGACTGGCCGGCCTTCTGGACCACGGCAACGCCCAAGCCGCATTGCCCTTGCTGACACCCAGACCTCGGGTGCCACCTCAGGACCACCGAAGGCTGAGACCCCTTCGGCGGGGCCTATTCAGGCACGCGTTGATGCCCTTGAGGCGCGACTTGGCGGTTTGGAAGCCAAGCAGGACTCCCTTGCTGATAAGGTTGAGACCCAGTTCTCGCAGGGTGTGCGGGGCTCCTGCCCCACTTTTCACCGGTAGTAGGGCGGCATGCCCTACGACCCACGCACGACCGACATTCGTGCGTCACGAGCCAAAAGGGTTCCTTTTTTTCCAGGGTCACTGAACAACTGAGAAGAAGAACAAACTAAGTGAACATCGGGACAACCTAATATCAGAGGCCGTGGACTTCGGGTTGTAGCTTGTTTCCCGTGAAGTGACACAGTTTCGCCCCTCTTTGGAGGGATCGGAGTTACCGCCAGAGCTGGGTGCTCCAAAATGGGCCTGTGGTCTTTTGGGGATCTCCTCGAAGCACTGCCCTGCAGTTCAGTTGCCGCCATTTGAACGATGGTGAGGTTCATATTTTGGCACCATTGTTTGCCGTTCAGGAGTCTTGGTGGGTCCCAGCCATCCCCGTAGCGTTCTAGCTTTTTAGTTGGTTTAGTTGGGTTTCCGTGTTTAACCCACCAAAAGTAAAACTTTTAGCAGGGGATCTGAGGGCAGCCCAGGATGATCACCATCCAATTTGGGTCCCAAAGCCGTTCTTTAATCGGAGCAAGGAGCCCTAGGGCATGGATGTGTCTCGAAATAGGAATCGGCGAACCGCAAAACGGTGGGTTTCTTTTATCACCTCCCTTCAAACCAACCCCAAAAAGGGTGCCAACAAAACAAGACAGGCCCATATTCTAGATTGAAGTCTTGACTAGTGAAACATGTTTGAAATGGCAAAACACCATGGATACGGACACCGCACTCAATTCTTCAAGAGAACGAGCCCAACAAAAATGCCCATGTGGGGAAAGCTGCTTAGTCTCTGAGCGAAGCTCACGGAAAAAGCATGGGTTGGTAAATCAGAAGAAGGACTCCCATGGCAAACTCACCATGGCTCACGTGATAAAGGCCGTAGCGAAGGAGCCAAAATCGGTCTGTGGATGACTTCCGCGGTCCAAGCTTTCCGGCCAACTTGGAGGCTTTGGACTTAGTCCGTAGGCGACAAACAGAAGCTCCGGACTTCGGAACGGCTCTGGGCTATTCTGGGCGGGTTCCGGAGCTGCTGGAGATACCACAAGTGGTTGTTTTTTTCTTTTGGTTTTTGTTGGGGGGGGATTTGGCAACGTCGTGTTTGCAGGTTTCCCACGAAACACCACGAGTTTCCTGCCTGGTTGGACACCCAGTTCACATGGCCAATTGCTTAAAGGGCAGGCAGCCCTCATTCTTTGGGCGAGCCGCAAAGGTTAGAGATGAAGGAGACCCTCAGGTCGAAGGTTCCGGCCTACCCTTTCGCTCTCGCAAGGCTACCGCGTCTGGCTCCGATTGGGAGGCGCCGGCAGCTGTTCGGCAGGTGGTGACGTGATAAGAGCGCTTGGGGTGATCCCCAATCATGTTTCATATGTTAGGGTAGACTAAACTTTGGGCCAGGGTCAGAACATATGTTTCAATTTGTACCTCAGATGTTGCCGTCATTAGACTAATGACGGTAACATCTGAGGTACAAATACAAACATGCTCACTCAACAAATCGACCGAATCGACATAGATGGGTTCCACTGGTTTAGATTGATTTATACCCCATTTCACCAAGGATGCCCATCTAGATTAGTCATCTACTCTATGTAGGAGCCCTTCATGCACGTCCTGGAAGAGGAAAGCGTTCCTTTTCAGGAACATTGTCCACTTCCTTGGTTGGACAGAGAGTGGCTCACTCAACAAATCGACCGAAACGACATGGATGGGTTCCGCTGGTTTAGATCGGATTATGCACCATTTACCAAGGAAGCCCATCTATTCTTGCAGTTTAGGTCACCTATGACCGGCTGGCAATAGAACTTTGCTTGCCCGGCAAACTGGCGGAAGGAGCCCAACAGCCCACGTGAGCAAAAAAGCTGTTCGCAGGGGTGACTGGTTGATCAGCACCCCGTAACTTGAGGCCCTGCCAAAAAGAACAAAGACTTCCATTTGCTGAAGACTATTTTTTAGACTTTCCCTTGTTGGTTTTAAAGGGAATGTATCACTACTGGAAGTAATTTTATTTTTATTTTTCTAGGGGGCTTAAGCAGATGGAAGCAAAAGAACTGGAGGAACACATAAAGCTGCAGCCGCTCCCTGGTTAATCGAATGGTTCGGTATCTCGGACAGCTCGGAACCTTGGACCCCGATTGGGCAAGGGAGTGGTTGGTTTGTTCCGGGGTCTCTTCCAAAACGGTGTTCTAAGGTTCATGACTAGCTAGGCGGGTGTGTCTTTTCTTGAGGGTACCTTCCTTTTTTGTGGTTGTTGTGAAGGAACACTGAAAGAAACCCCGAAGCCATTTTGTCCGCAAGCAAACACCACCATATGAAACAGACACTGAAAGTATGGGGGTTGATCAATATTCCTGCCCCCCCCCCCCCCCCAAATTATAGTGGAAAATATCATGTTTTCAGTGGTTTGCCAACCAATGGTCAGCTCATGTTGGCCGGGCCTTTTTATCAACCCCCATATGAAACAGACACTGAACACATGTCATGTCCGTGTACCCCAAAGTCGGGCCAAGTTTTGCAAGACGGCAGGACCCCACAGTTCCGGGCCTTTCGGTAACCGTAGCCCAAAATATAATTTGTTTTCCCTCACCTTTGTGCTGGCAATGCTCCAGCGACTTGTTCGGCTTTTGCCAAACTTATCAGACCGCGGCACTTGGTAGGGACCAAGTCTGAACTGATCCCTTCCCCCTAATGTTGACCCCGGATGAATAAAAACCTGCCCTATTAATAGGGCGGCGTTCTCCAAAAGTGATGAACCACTAAAGGGGACCCCAATCAAAATCAACCAGGAGTTCTACTTACATCCGGGGTTCCCATTACACATCATCCAAACCGCCTACGTGCTTCAACTTGTTTGTTGCTTGCTTCATATGTACTGCAGTGTTCTGCTTCCGCTCTTTTTGACAATCATGGAAGTGGACAGGGGGGTGGAAAGGAAAGCCTTCGTCTTCCAACCCCCTGTCAGCTTCCATGGAGGGATAGATCCGGAGTTCGCTCGGAGCGAGGCAAGTACCGGCGAGTGGAGTGGCAGAAGCTGTCTGGCACCAAGGCTGAGGCGTGGTCGGTTTGGGTCCTGGACTCCAAGCGCTCCCGACGCAGATGAAGCGCAGTTTGGATTGGTGTCCTTTCGGTTGGTTTGGTTGGGTGTCCATCCGCACCCAAAAGTTAAGCACTTTGAGCCGGGCAGCTGAGGACAGCCCAGGTTGAACTCACTTCTGTAGGTGTCCTTGGTTAGAAACAGATTGGTTCCTGTGGTTTGGAAGACTTGTTGTATGAACCATTTAGCGGGGAAACTCATTGATTTTTCCACCTACGGCCAGTTGGGTTTGGAGCCTCTCTACCTTGCACATCGACCGAAGTAACCCAAAACACTCTCGTTTCTTTATTGTTATTTGGTAACGGATTTTTGGACTTTAACTTTGTGTTGGAAACTCGTTGATTTTTCCATTGGGCCCACAAAAAGTGAACAACTCTTTGCAGAGGGGCCGTTGCAGCAACCAAGTTTGAGGAATCTCCTTGGGAGACCTTTTGCGGGGTTTCGTGGTTAGTTTGCAGGATAGTCCAGGGGTTCACTTTTGGGTGACCCACCTTTTGGCATGTAAGAACCAGCTTGAAGGATTCACTTTTCGGGTTACGTTTTGGATGGCAACAAATCAGTTTGGTTGCTTTTTGCGCAAGTGTAGTGGGTGGACAGGCTCATGGAGTTTTGGGGCAGTTCATGCTTCGGTGTCCTACAATTAGAAGAGGTGGCAATGTGGTGGGTTCCTTTTCGGTTCCTGGCCCTTGGGACCCAACATTGCCCCCAGAGGGGTTGGCCTTTGCTGGAAAGCCCAAATGCCACTTTCATCATCAAAGCACCCACAACTGTAGTCAGATTTCAGGATATCTCAGCGGGGGCATTCATGGATCCTCGATTGCTCTCAAAAGTCTCCGTCCTCCTAACAGAAATCATCTAGTGGCTGACCAAGCCCACCTGTGTCTGCTGAAATCTACGATGAAAACAATCAACCAACTGCAGTATGCTTGCTCAAACAAAGCAAAACGGCGGCACCGGAAAATATATCTATGTATATGCATATATAAAGAGATACGTAGATTTATTATGATATGTATGCCCACACGTTCGTTCCACTCCCAAATCCCCCGGCCCTTTTTTGACCGACATGTCGGCAGGTGCCGATCGCCGCGTCGTATTACTTGGCTGGGGACTTCAACTTCTGGGACTTCCAACCCCTGGAGGCGCCAAGCTTTGCTTGCGGCTGCTCAGGGAATGGCCTTCCGGGTGTTGGGAAATGAACCGGAAGGGGATTCCCTTAAAGGAAACCCTAGGGGACGCTTTGTAGGGTTCATGTTCTCATCCCTGCTGAGAACCGGCAACTTTTCGGCGCCACGCATTGGCTTTCGACGGCCGCCGCTTTTTTCGTTGCTCCGGTTCGGCTTTTTGCTCGACAATTTTTGCGGAGGGTTGGTTCTGTAATTCCGGGGTACCTCAAGGGCACAAGGTTGCTTACATGCCTAACTCGAATCATGAATGGGTTCTTCTCAAGGTACTTCAAAACAAACTAGGTCACGAGTCACAAGATAGGAGGGTTTCATCGCCTGCCACTCTTAGCAGGCTGTTGTGGCAGTTCTCAGGGAATGAGTGGAACCTTGAACTATCCAACTGGTGTTTCCTTTCGGGGGAACTCTGGGTGCATTCCCATGTTCCGCATGTGTTTTGTGGGCCCGTCCCGAAGAGAAGTGAGGAACATGTTTATTGTGCGAAACCCACGTTTCAAAGTAACCAATTTTTCATGGCCCTCTGGACCCCAATTGAGCAACACCCAAAACCGATTCCCCCCCAACAAAATGTGATTTCAGTACGTGGTTGGATTCCTGCCTGGTCTGCTCCAAGGTAATGATCCTTTATGACCCTTCCAGTGGATCTCAATTACCTTCATTCAAACAGTAGGTAACCCTTCGATCCATTGTCCTCTTGGTTTGTAAAGCTGCTGGCAAGCCCCTGGTTACCCACAAGGAACATGGACTCACTGGATCCATGTTTTTGGGCGCTTCGGAAGCGGTGTGTCTGAGGAGATCCACTGGGTTTTCCCACCAGCCCCAGTTTGGGACTGGAGTCGAAGAAGCGAAGCTCCAGGCCTCTGAGACAGCGGGTTCGCGGCTCTGTTTTGAAACCAATTTGCGTGTTCAGGTTCGCGAAACTGGGCGCCTGGAGCTTCACGACAAAATGTTCCCCGCTTTTGGGGGTCCTTCAGCTAGCCGTTCATGACAGCGCAGGAGGAGGCCTCGAGCGGCAAGTTGCGCGCCTTTCATGCGGAGGCACGAGACTTTGGCTTTGGGTTTGGCAGGGGCCAAAGTGGTAAGGCAGTTTGAAGGCGTTGGCGGCTTTTTTGGGGGTGTGGGTGCAAGGACGTAGGCGTGGGGGCAAGGACGTCGTGGGTTCCCCGAAACTCGGTTTTTGTTGGGGGTGTGTGGTTTGAAAACCGCGCTCCTTGCTCCCTCAAGAATCTCTGAGTAGCTATCCAGTGGCAATCAGTGGCCTTTGGCATATCATGAATCAGGACTGGAAGACATTTGCCTCTTTTCAAGGCGCTTGAGGGGATACCACAAGGACCCCTGCGCTTTTGACAACCGACGTCCTGTGTGCTAAATCACGACCATATTTCCCCTTGGGGGTGTATATCCGTTTTTTTCCCTTTCTTTTTTTTGGCCGGGGTGGATCCGCTTCCTTTCGGGCCACTCCTGGCAGTTCCGGGAGGCTCCTGTCAGGTTTTTTGAGGTCTCGGCAAGTTGTGTTCTGCCGGATGCTGTCGGGGATGAGATAGGGGCCGATTAGAATGGGGTTGTGGCGTACTTTAATACCAGTTTAATCATGACTGTAGGGGAAAGTGCAACTAATTCTTTAGCCCCTTGTGTTACCCCTTATTTGAAGGGAAACCAACAGAACCCCATCGTGTTGGTTTGTCCTTTGTTTAATTAATTATATATTAATATAATATTTACTATACATATATATGTTCCAGGCTTCCTTGGCCCCCCCCCCCACCCCCCCCAATGGTCATGCTCAGTCAAGAAGGTAGCACAGTGTGACCCTACAAGCCCCCCGCCCCCCTGTGGGATGGGTGGGGGGGGTCCATGGTTCTCACCCCCCCCCCCCGCCCCCCTGTGGGAATGGGGGTTGGGGAGAATGGTAGCACAGTGTGACCGCAAAGCCCCCCGCGACCATGGTTCCCACACCGCCCGCTGGGGTCTATAATAGGTAGCAAGCAAAGTGCGTTTGCCACTGGCGCGTTGCAGCGCACTTGGTTAGCACTTGGTTGCGGCGCTGCAAAATACAAACTGCGTCGTGGCATCGCGCACTGTCAATTGCGACAGCGCTGCAACTTGTCGCGTGCTGCAAAATGAGCAAATGGCATTGCAGCGCAACACACGAACAGCGCCGCAAACGCGCCTGCAATGTCGCGCGCACACTGGAGCAAGCCGCCCCACAAGGCCCCCCCCCCCCCCGGGTTGGGGGGGGGGGCCAGCGTCCCCCCCCCTGGATGGACCCATACCATTGGGGGGGGGGGCTGGGGACGACGGGCGACGGGAACATATATATATATATATAAATATATGATGATAAAATCATATTGATAGTTAACCTACAACTAGTATATAGGAAAACATGTAGTATTAAACTAACATAATTATAATGCGATAAATAGGACTCACTTGCCAAGGTTCTTGACTTTGCACTTTTTGGGAAGATCTTTGGCACAGAACAAGTCTGAACATACTCTCTGGCACAAATCAAGCTACTGATGAAAGCAGGCAACACCAACATCCCACACCTTTTTTGGGGGAGCCTTTTCGGGGACCCCACTTCATGTCTTGAGAAATTCAGACCCACGCGTAGGTCTGTGTTTTGGCGAGGGTGCCCTTGTTCGGCGGGTTTTCAGGGAATGAACCAGCAACCCATTTTGGATGACCAAAGCCTTATTTTCACACATGGGGGTTGATCAATATTCCTGGTCCCCAAACGACCATGAGTAATTGTTCCCATTGAGTGGTAGATGTCACCTTTTTAGCGGTTTTCCCCAATGGTCATCCTATGTAAAGGACCTTTTTGATCAACATGCCCAGCTGGTTTTTCTGTTGGGCGCCGCCCTGCACGGAAGTTGGCTCACAGACTCACAGACTCGCTGACAGGTGCAGCTACGCAGCAGCGAGGATGTCTTCCAGGCCATGGATCTTTCGGCCTGAAAAGGCCGTGAAGGGCAACACGTGGCTGTGGGTCAAGAATATGTGCCCAAAAATGGGTTACCATGGTAAATGGAAACTTGGACTACAACCTGCGGTCCAATTCCTGGTGGTTTAATGTTGAGGTCCAATTCCTGGTGGTTTGATTTTGACCCACACCCACATAGCGGGGGGTAGACGTAGGGCCGACCCAAAGTTCCTCATGGTTCAAGTACACTCGCCTTGTTCATAGCCCTTGGCTTCCCTTGGTGTCCAAGCCCTTTAGGATGTTGTGGTCACTTGTGTTATGAATAACCCACTCAGGAAGTAAGCCCAGAGATCTGAAGGATGCAGCTTATCCTGGGGTAGACTTAGGATACATGTGGGTATGGGTCAAAATTAGGCCAGGAATTGGACTGCAGGTTTTCATCCTTTCCATTTACCAGGTCAACCCATTTTGGGTGCCTCTTTCTTTACATTTTGCCAGTGACCCAAAGTGTAGCAAACAAACATCAACATTTGACTGGAAACTCTAATTGTAGAAGTTGTTTCGACCATATTTGCGCTTGTCTCAAAATGACCCCCCCCCCCCCTTGGGATGAGGTTGAACGGAAACCAAAAGAAAAAGGGATAACCCTTCTCGTGGCAATTGGTGTGCGTGTACACAGCCACATGCGCTGTTTCAAGGGAAGCCAAAAGGAAACCGATCATCATTTTTTGTTGGGGGGGTGGACCCATATCGTCGCAGTTTGTGTGTTTTTCGGAGGGTACTTTTTTCACCTTGGTTTGAAGGGATACACAGAACACCATCATTTTGAGGGTTTTTATTGGGACACGTGCCCTTGATTATGCTGGATAGACCCTCTGTGAGGACCCCTCACGGGGCGCATGGGGTCTCTTGAAATGCTATACGGAAGGCCTGGGGTGTTCACACGAAACCCAAAAGGCATTAAGGGAATACCGACACCCTGGCACCAAACCAGGCACGGTTTAACCAATGGTTTTAGCATGGTTCAAACAAGGATTCGGCCCAATCCTATGTTGGGACCCGTTTGCGGAGGCGCGGGACCCAACTAAAAGAACACGGGTGGCTCGTCTTGGAGTTGGTATCCCTTCTTTGGTGGCTTTGAAGGGGAACCACAAGGAAAACCCGGACCGAAGCCATTCGGGGGGTTCCAACCTGAAAAAGACCAGCCACCCACATGGCATCATGTCAAGCACACGAGGCCGCGGGAGTTCAGATGCGACCAGTTTCCTTGGAGTTCTTCTTCGCGTACCGATACGGCGTTCCAACGACCCGATTCCTTCAACATGTGTCTGGTTTTGGTTTTTAAATGCACTGAGCCCATTTTTCCCCTATTAGCTGAAAGCTATGGGATCTCTGCCCTGATAGGCTCTGGTTTGGGGCAGCTTTCAGGGAGGGTTCAAAAGCAGATTCGGTTCTCAGGGTGTTCCCTTTTGGGCCTCTTGGGTCCCGATACCACCTGGGCTTGTTGGAGTTTGTGTCTTCATGCCTCTGAGTCCCTTCAATTCGAACATGTGCCCCTCGCCCTTTCGAACTCACCCAAGCCAATGCAACGGGATCGTGACACCGTGACTCGGGATTCAGGTGGTTCGGAACAAGGACTGGGACCAGGCCTTCTACCCAGAGGCGCGAGTAGTGACGCAGACTCCCATTTCAATTTCCTCAAGAATATTCATTCTCCTGACTGGTGTCAAAAGGAGCCTATTACTCCTGAAAGTATGCCGGATTTTTTTTTCCCGGGGATGTGTTCTCTGGCTTTGAAGGGAGGCTCTCTGTACTGGAAGCATGTCGTATTTGTTTAGGGGCTTAAGCAAATGAAGCAACTAGACTCTGGCCCCTTTAGCGTTTGAGCGTGGACTGGGTTTGGGAGAAGCAAGCTGTGGCCGTGTCTCGTTTGGAGTTGGAGCTCCCAAATGGCTGGTTATCAGTTTTAGGCATGGTATTTTTTAGGCATCCACGTTCTGCGACGTTTCTTGCAAGGCCCAAGTGATAAAGTGGTCATGTTGAATCGTTCGTGGAACCCAATCAGCCACTGTGCCTCCAGTGAGTCACTTGCTCAAACCCGCTGTAGATGGGTTCCTTCGCCGCGTTGTTGAAAGTCTTTACATGGGTGTGTCATTGTTTTTGAGGGTACCCTTTTTTGGTTGGTTTTAAAGGGAAACCAACAGGAAGCTCTTGCCATTCTTGAGGCTTCCTTATTTTGGCACACACCCACCAGGCTTCAGGCTTCTGGGTAGACGACAGAGTACTCAGTTTTAATTACGTGACTTTGGGGATCCACCCTACCCCCCGCCCACCCACCCACCTACCCACCCCCGGCTCCCTCAACGCTTCAGGGTGACACCGAGCAGCTGCGGGGCCCTGACGGCTGCGGCACAGCCAAGGGCTGGCGCCTCCCCGGCAAGGCCGAGAAGGGGCAACGGCAACGGATGGGGCAAAAGTACCCCCCTCAAAAAAATTGGGGATGGCTCAAAATTAAACAGGAGGGGCAAACCGCAGGTTTTGGTCCATGTTTCCACTTGCCAGGGCAACCCATTTTGGTACCGGTTTTTGGAATTCGAGAATTGCGTGTTGCAAGGGTTTGTTCTCAAATTCAGGCCAAGCCGCAGTGCTCACTCCAAAACAGGCAACTTAGCTTCAAATCTCTTGGTGTCCCTTCAAACTCCCAACAACAAGAGGGCGGCCACTCCCACATGTTGCCCCTATGCTGCCCCCCTCTGCTCTAAAACATCACCTGGTGTTTTGTGGAATGCCACCAACCCGTGTTCCCCCCAAAATGGCGGGGGCACACGCCATGGGTTTTTGTTGGGGCTCCTGGTGCCGCGCGCGCCGGAGGCGGGGGACGTCTTCCGGATTCGCTTCACGCGGACGTTGCCCTCCTCCGGCGCGGACGAGAAGCGCCTTGGCCAAGCCTCCGGCCCTTTGATGACAAGGGGGGGGTTGGTTTGGGGGGTTTGGGGGGTTCCAGCCTTTTTGGGGGTTGGTTTGCTCACCTGAGTCCCGTTTCGGACTTGAGTCGCTTGTCAGAACAACCAGAGCTTCAAGTCACACTTGAAAGTCCACTGCTTTTTGATAAAGGAGCGTTGCCAAGATTCCAGGGGGGTGATTTGTCCCAAACATAAAAGCTTTCCATGGCGAACTTCATTGCCGGATCTAACAAAAGCTGTCTGGAAATCTGGGCGCAACATAGCCTGTTGGTTTGAGTTTCGCCCACTGGTTGACACCTGTAGAAGCATGCGATTTTGGGCCTGGACCCGCCGTGGACGGACGCCATCAATCAAATGGATGGACGAAGCCCTAACAACTCGCCAATCTTCCATTTGTTTTTCAGTTGCCAACAAGAAATCGATTTCTAGTTGCTGAAATGAATAGTTTTCCATTGTCCCCTGTTGATTTTAAAGGGAATCGAATTCACTACTGGACATTTTCTCTCATTTTTTCCAGGGGACTCGAGCAAATGGTGCAGGATTTAATCCGATATTTTTTGAGACAGGCCCCTGGCACAGCTACAAAGCCATTCACAGCCCCTTGTAGTTGCATGGTTTTTCCCTCGGTCTGGTTTTTAGGGAAGCCCCTCTCATTTTGAGCCCATTTGGGGTCATTTTTTTGCTTTTCGGTTTCTGCAGATTCAAGTCAGAAACTGGCTGGTGGCTTCCCTTCAACCTACCACTGAACGGGGGTGCCTTTGATAGTGGTGAAATGGCTGTGGGTCAAAATAGGTACAATGAAACCAAGGACACAAAACCGGTCCAGTTCCTGTGACCCATGCCCATATCTGGACACATTGCAACAAACCAGCCCTTTTGCCGGGTTTCCACAAAAGTTTTATTTTTTCCTGGAATGGACATGGAAGGTATTTCTAGAACATGCAATTGGATGGCCGCCATTTGCTTGCTTTTTGTCCATGCGTTTTTTGCCCCAAAAACACCAGTTACAGTGACTGAAAACAAATCCGCCACTGGGCTATCTAGGTGGTTTTCGACATGCTCTGTTAAAGCCCAGGAGTTAGGGATAGAAGGCAGGACATTCTCCAAATTGGGAGGTACTCCCACAAAAACCGAAGGGGACCAGAGACGCGCTGTCGTCTCTGGCGCGTCTCTGGCGCTTCGGTTGGTATTCGGGGCCGAGGCACATCAGCTGGACCTTGCAGCGCTCGGGCAAGCTGGCGGTGAGCCAGGACGTTCGATCCCTTCGATCCGATCCGAGTCGATCTGGGCGCGAGGGTTTGGGCGGCTCGTCCGTTTCTTTGTTGGAGTCGGTAGCCTTTTTCATTGCCGGTGGGTTTAGGGTACCATCAAAAAAGGGTACCATCAAACCCAAAAATGGTGGGTTTTGCTTTTTGATGGTTACCCTTTTGTGGGTTTGATGGTACCCTTTTTCTTGCTTTTTCTTGCACCCATCCCCAAGGATCCGAATCTTTTCAAAGTGAGGACTCCCGAAGGGCTTCTTGGAGGAAGGAAAGCGCCAAATATACGGTTTGGGGTTCATGCCACAACTATCACTTGCCGGTGCGAGAGATGCAGGGAATGAGAATTGGAATGACCCCCTGTAAACCATCCAACTGGTGGTTTCGTTTACGAATCAGCACGTTCATTCCCTCATTCCCTACTGGGCACCGGTTTAAAAAAAGAAGAAGAAAAAACAGGAAAAGCGAAATCCATTTGGGGGGGCCCGTAAAAGACACCCAAATGTCAATCCAGGGTTAATAAGCCCCTACTTACGGTATTTACGCGTATTTGCTGTAGAATCAGTAAACGTAAGTCGTAAGCAGTAAAATCCAGCAAAGGGCCGAAATGTCAATCCTATTTGCTGTAGTTGTCCCTGCTTTGAGTTTTGTTTGGGGGTATTTACACATATTTGCTGTAAAATCAGTAAACATAAGTCGTAAATGCAGGTCAAATCCAGTAAATGTGAATCCTATTTACTGTATTTACTTTAGAGCTGTCCCTGGTTTTGTTGTAAAATCAGTAAACATAAGCCGTAAATACAGGTCAAAGCCAGTACACGTCAATCCTATCTTTATGTATTTACACAAAAGGGGCCGTCCCTTTTTTTTTGTGCGGGTTCGTCACTTTTGGGCAGTGAAGTTTGAAGCTCGGGTGTTGCTGCAGGCTGTGGTACATGGCTCGCATCCGGAGTTCCGTTTCGGATTCGAATCGGGGAGCCCGGTGGTTTGGAGCCGAATCGCTCGCAGGGGCTACCTGAGCGGACCAGTTGCTCGATGGAAGAAATGGAACAGATGTCCCCTTCTCGTTCTTCCGAACGCGATCGGCCGAAAAGAACCCAAGCGGCTTGCCACTGAAATGGTGGGGGCTTTCAGTCCGAGTGTCTCTCCTGAGCCAAGGCCCTCCAGTACTTCGCTTCTTTGGTTCTTTCCGGCGTGATTTTCCCACGTCCTTGGTGTCCCCGGTGCGCTGGGTTTCGGTCCGTGTGAGCAGTGTGCCGTTGATACCTTCGAAGATCCATGGCTTTTGACCCTCCAACGGCCCCGGGATGGCCCGGGATGCCGTCACACCCAAAAAAATCGCACGAGCTCACCGATTCGGGGGCAAGCCGAGCAAAATTCCGGCCCATGAAGGATTCGGTTGATTGCCGGTTTGCCAATACTTTTGGCTAACTTCCTGTGCGGCTTCAGGGTTGAAGCCTCCCGAGTTCCTGGACCTCAGTCGCTGTTCGGGAAGACCATTCCAGTGGCGAACAACAAGTGTGGTTACATTTGTTTGGCCCATCCACTCGTTCGGAAGCGACAAGCAGGTTTTGCGCGGGACACTTCACACACCAATCCCCAGCTAACTTGTAGAGATTCCCTTTGTGGGTCTGTCCCTTTTTGGAGGGTACCCTTTTTGGTTGCTTTTCAAAGGGAAATCCAACAAAAAGGACCACCCCACATTTCCATTTCGGGGCCGCGAAAAACTCCGCCGGAGACGCGGGCAGGAGGTGGCCCTGCGGCGCAGCTACTGCATCGCCGGGAACCCCGGACTTGCGGACTTTCGATCCCGAGACGCCGAGACGCGGAGTTGAAATGAAAGGCGAAAGGGGAAAGTTGGAAAGGGAATGAAGGGCTCCTTAAAAGATCTCCATTTTTTGCAACCATTTGAAACATGTGGCTTTCTCCACAATAAAGGGAAAGGGAATGGGAAAGTTGGAAATGGGGATGAAGGTTAGTCAGGATCCTTGAAAGATAGATACATTTTGCCACCATTTGAAACATGGCTGGCTTTTTCAACACCCAAATTAAGGGAAACCACCATTGACAAGTTGCAATGTTCAGGTGTATAATGTAAGGATCCCTGGAATGGGAAAGGGACAATGAAAGGAAAGGGAAAGGCAAGGGCCAAGGGGACCCAAAGTGGATGAGGGTGAACACTGTCACCAACCAACCAACCAACCAACCAAGCCATCTCACTCCACCCTAGGGTTCAACTTGCCCCCATCAAAAGAAAGGCCCAAGGGGACCCAAATTGGATGTCAATCCTGAAGGGTACACAACGTGTCCGGCCGGACGCTGGAATTTCCATCCCCAAAGGTGAAAGTTGATACCTCCTCCTTGGAGCCCTTCGATGCGAAGAGGGCCTACATAAACACTACTTTGTGAGCGTGCTTATTGCCCGCTTAGGAGACTGATAAAACCATGGAAAGTGGGTTATAGCCATGGTTATCACCCACTTGCTAAGTACATCGTCCCTTAAGTAGGCATCCTTTTTGGTTGGAACATAGATGGCGACCTGGTTGACCTTGTCTCATAAGGACGCCTCTGGCCTACGCTGCTGGTGTTGTAAGAAAAACATGCCATATTCATCAACAAGTCCCTGGGTTTAGTGGGGAATCATTATCAATAAGCTGGGGTTGATGAATACAGGGTCAACATTAAGTTTCATCCCATAAATGCTTTGAACTTTTTGTGGGCAACCCACTCAGGGAGTAAGCCCAGGGATGCTCCCAAGTCGTTCCCTCCCAATGGTAACGGGCCTATGGTCCCAATGAGTGGGCTGACTCCAGTGCCACTGCCAGGCCGGCTTGCCCAGACCCGAAGAAACTATCCGACAAGAAATGAGTTCTTGCAATTGCAACCCAAAAGAATGGTTTGTGACCACTGTACCTTTTTTTTAAGCGGGTAGTTTGAGGGTCCAGGCGACCTTTTATACCGCTTTGCTTTGCGAACCACTTTTCGAAGTCTGGAATTCCCTGAGCAAGTAAACCCTCAGTGAACCTCTCAATAAATCCCTGCAAAGTTAACTGGCTTGTCTCGCGATATGTGTTTTAGGTTAAAAGGTTGAATACCTATGTGCTGTCAAAAGACCCCCTTAATGGGTTAATCGGGATGGTCATCCCGAGTGACCCTTCCATTTGCTCAACAATATGTGTTATGATTGTTATGTGTTATTCTCCTTATTGGTTTAAAGGGAACCTGTCAATAAACTGTCACAGACATATATTTCGTGTATTTTGTTTCCGGGAAGGAACCTTAAGCAAATCCAAAAGACAGCTCTTAAGCCCAACTCGGTGGCTTGGCACTTGCCATCAGAATTCGCAGGTGGGCTCCTGGACCAGTTTCGTGTCCCGAGAGCCCATGACCTTTGAGGCCCTGAGATTTTCGGAAATTCCGCGGGAGGTGGTTGAGCCGATTTTTCTGGCGGGAGGTGAATTCCCTGCGGTTCAAACTAATTACCATTTACGAGGCATGCTTGGGTTCAAAAGACCCTTAAAACAATTGTTTACCCTTCAGCCCTGTCTATCATCCAATTTGGGTCAACCTTTCTTTAAATGGGGGCAAGTTGAACCCTATGGTGAAGAGAGGCATTTGAGCGCAGCCGGCGTCAAACAAGGCTTTACCCAAATGTTCAAGGGCTAGGGCAAACCGCAGGTTTTGGTTTTTGGTCCCATTTTCCAAGGTGAGCCTCAATCAAAGCCGATTCGGGTAGACTAAGGAGAGTAAGGGACAACTCACTCGCCATAAATGGCCGGTTTTGCTTCTTGAAGCGTGGTCTTGGGTCGACCATTTTAATATCGACAGGTGTTGATTATGACTCACTTGAGCCATCAAAACCTGATGAAGGTGAGGGCACAGCCGCCACACATGGGTGCGGATAATTTGTCCTCTTGATTTTTGCATGGTGGGTAGACGACTTTAGTGCCAGGTGCTGGCGTTTAAGAGGTTGCTTATATTCCCGTGGGATGGTCAGATGAAGTGGGGCTCTCATTATTTCCCGTGTTTGAACACCATCTGGTTGGATGTTGAGAGGGATGAACACGCCATGTTTTTAGTCTCAGCCGGGCAAAATTCGATTGAGGATCGGTTTGGGGTAAGACGAGCAATTCCATGATGAAGGTTCTTGTCTGGAGGTCTCCTTATTTCCGGCTTGGGAATCACAGTCATTTGTTCAGACTACTGGGAGCCTGTGATTCATCGGTTGATTTTGATGGGGGTATGTTTTTCTTTTGTGAGGCGATCAACAACAGCCGTGCGATTGGTTCAGGATGGGTTCGGCAGGAGGTTTGCCAGGCGAGGTCCAACTGGTTTTGTTCCGTCATGCGACCTCCGAAGTGGGCCTTTCTTGATTGCTATTGGGCAACGGATCTTTAGACTTTTAACGTTTTGGTTGAAATCAAGTAATAGTCTGTTTTCCATTGAGTTGAACAACGATTGGCAGACGGGTCGTTGCAGCAACCAAGCGTTGGCTTGTAAGGCGGGCCCTAAGGTAATGTTCAGCTAAACCTCCAGTAGGATGTCTCAAATTAGGGTTGAGTCCCCTTCCTGCGGGCTCCCAAAAAAAGGCATTTGGTTGGCATTTGGCAATGATTCTCCTTTTGCTTCAGAATATTTGGCTGTGGGTCAAAACCCATATACGGCGCACCACCCATTTTAGTCTATTTTATTGGGGATTGGGATGTTCACTGGGGGTACGGGATTTTGACCCATGGCCATTTGTTTATTGTTCCTGTTGGTTTTTAAAGAAATCTATCACTACCGGATTGTTGTTATTTTTCCAGGGACTTTGGCAAATGGGGGACTCGAAAGCATTGAAGAAGTGGCTGTTCAGAACCTTGGACACTTGGACCCTCGAGTAGCTGCGAAAGGAACCAGAAGTAGTTACTTAGAGTCTCCATGACCCCTGGAAAAGGGGTCATAACCCCTTAATTTTGGGTAATGACCCCATAAGGGTCATGGAGACTCCAGGTAGTTTGAACTTTGTTGGCGACCGCAATCCATGGGAGGATGCACGCTGGGCTGCCTTTAGTTGCAAGGAGGAAAGGTCAGTTGTAAAGCTAGTAGCTACCAGCGGGATGTATGCACAGTGCAGCAGGATTCCAAACAATACTTCTCTCTTCTTGTTGTGAACGTCACCCATACGATGCGTCTTCTAGCCATTGTTTGAGCTTTTACAAGCTCGCCCATGTGGGTGTAAAACGAGTGACTCCGTGACACAGGCCGTCACTTGGGACCCTTCAGGTTTCTGAATGACAGTACTTTGACCAGATCACATCTTTGTCCAGCGACAATGGTTGAAACCACGGGGCAGCGATTTGAGGATTTGTGAACCCAAGGGGCGTATGAGCCAAGGTTGGAAGGTTCCCAAGGCGGGTCTTAGCACTTCTGCCTTTTTTTCTCCGAATAAATCTCCAAATGACTAATCAACTGTACCCATCGATTGGGTATGCCAGCTGAAGGGTTGTGTTTTTGTAGGGTAAGGGTCCAAATAGACACCACCCATTTTAGAGGGTCCTCTTCGACACACAGCCAACTGATTGAAACTGATTGCTCCTCATGACAATTGGGTATGGGTCAAAGGTGACAGGTTTTAGTCCTTTCCATTTCCCAGGGCAACCCATTTTGGATACCCTCCCTTCCACTAGCATAGCTTCAGGTGGGAGTACCGGAAGAGCAGTTCCTCTTGTAGCCTTTTGGGTGCTAGGGCAACGTGGGAGTGAGGGCATCCGATTTTTGACCCGCACCCATTTGGCCATGGTTCAAAACCAATGGTACCCCCATTTCAGATCCTACTTTAGCGGTTGGATTGAATCGGATGTTCGCTGGTGCCATGGGTTTGGTCCCGCCATATTAGCCCCCAGGAGTTTTTAGTGACTTTGGTGGTTTGAACCCCAGGGAATGTCGTTTTTAGTGGTTTGAACCCCCCCCCAAAACAAAAGTCTTTGTGTTTCCCCTAGACACCTATAGGGTTTCAGCGCTCGGTGTGGCTCCCCGTTCCAACGGCTCATGGACCCGGCCTCGCAGGCGTCGGCCTGGGTGGCGGAGGTCACCGCCGCGCGCCGAAAAGTTTCGAGCCATGGAGCGAGAGGGGGGTAGGACCCCGCCGCCCCGCCGTTTTCGGGCCAACCAAAGAAAGGCCCCTCAAGCTGTGCCAGTAAAAAACCTTGAGGTACCCAAGATCCCCCAATTTGGGCCGAATCAATCTTAGAGGCACCCCCCCCTTCAATTTTTGGCCTCTTGATTATTTATTTTTTCCCAGAGAAAAACAACCTTGGTACCCAAGATGTTTGCGGTTTTGGGTCGGATTGCTTTTTTGTTGTTTCTGGGTTCGTCGATTGCAGATTCCCCCCAAATCCGTGAAGATGTGAGGTACCAAGGGACTCAGCGTTGTTTGGGTCGTCGGTTTTTTGAGGGGAGTTTGGGTGCCCTTTGCAGGTCCGGGGAAATGAGAAAACCCGAAGTTCACTTGGGTCCAAATCCAAAAAAATGACATGGGTGTGCGTTTGTTTTAAGGGAGCGTGGTTATCCTTTTGTTTTTTCTTTGAAACCGATCAATCAACGTGGTACCCTCCAAAAAGGAGGCAGCCGCCGAATGGATTTCTGAGACGTCCGAAAGTAGGAAACCGGAGCCGAAATTTGTGTGGCTTCCCTTTCTTTGCTTTTCAAGACAAGCCCAACACGGGCTTCAAACTCGGATTTGTATGGAGCTGTCAAACTGTTCGCCACCGCTTCGTTTCAACCAGCCAGCAAAGGTAGCAGACAGAGTCCAGGCTTCTCTTCATCGACTCAGGCCATCAGATCGTTAGGGCCTCTTCGGGGAAGTTGCGAGGTTTGGTTTCCTGGAAAGCTAAAGCAAAACCCACCCAAGTCATTTGACTCCAGGGCTCAACCCTCATTGAAAGACAGGTGTTGGCCCAAATTGGATGATGATAACTCTTATGTAAACCATGGCGGCTATATGAACCCAACCATTGTTCAACTGGGTCTCAGTTGTTCAGTGGCACCAATTTTGTTTCCTTGTTTTTTGGTGGCCCCACTAAAAAATTGGTCTTCCAACCAAAAAGGGTTCCCTTTTTTCCAGGGTCAATGAACTGAGGGCTGGCCTGCCTGAACCCTTGGGTCCAGAAGCCGCCAGCCTCGCTCGCTGAGGTTGGGAGCACCGGGCGTGAATTCTTCCAGCTGTTGCTGGACGGCAACTGGCTGGCCGCGGTGTACCCCAACGCCGATGAGGCGGAGCATCGAATAGTTTTTTTGTTTTTTCTCAGAGGTAGGGATTTGGGCAACGGCGGTCCTTGGCATAGGTGCCCTTTTTATGTTACTTTGCTTGGAATAGATGGGTTCCACTGGTTTAAATGGGCTTTGTTCCAGGGTCATCTATCTATGTTTCCAACAGGACGCCTAGATCCTTGGTTTTCAACTCGCAGGCCCTCAAACAAGTGGACCCATGTGGAAACTTGGAGGCTCCCAGCCATCCCCTTAGCTTTTTAGCCTTTTAGTGTTTAGTGGTAGTTTCCATTTAATTCCCAGCCTGCAATAGGCCAAAAGGGGACCCCCCCCATGGAGCCAGGGAGGGGGTTTGTTAGGCCTTGCCTTCGCTTCAAACTGAGGCTGCCACATAGCCCAACGGTTGTTGTGTTTCTTTTTCTCCTTTTGTTTCTTCTTTTTGTTTTCTCCGGATTTCCCCTCTATTTCGAAAGCCAAGCTCAGTTCTTGACTCTTGGGAATTGTGCGGAATTGGCCCCCGAAAATGGCTCTCGGCTCTCCCTTTGGCTTCCCCCCCCAAAAAAAAAACACGGTACCGACAAAAACACACACACACCCAACTTACAGTCTGGGTGTTACATCGGGGCTCTTTTCGTTTTGGTCCAAGGACAGCTTTGGAAGGACCTCCTCGTTCTCAGCAGGGAATGAGAGTTATGGGTGGTTTCCTTTATTCGGGGACCAATTCCTGGGTTCATTCTCACAACCCTAGGTCGTCCCTTACGGAGAGCCAGCATGTTCTTGCTCTTCGGTTCTTTTCATTACAGAAGGGCCCGCCATGGGGCCTGCGTTTGCGAAATGCCAGAAAAACTCAGAACAACACGCACCAGTACACCATTCCCATGTACTCTGGAAAAGGACATGTGACCCAAACCTCGAGAAAACCAACAAACACACAAAAACCTCGAGGAAAAAACAAACAAAAAACAATCCCTTGGGGGAAATGACCAGTACCTCCAAGGTTTTGTTCGGGGGATTGTTTTTGTTTTTCCTCGTTTCTCGAGGTTTTTGCACTTCCGCATTGTCCCCTCAGTGTTTTCCGAGTATTTCTTTCATGTTCTCTCAGTGTTCCATTATATAGCATTCCCTTACTATTCCCTGAGAATTCCCTGAAGAGTCATCAGAGTTCCTTTCATATTCCCCTAAATCTTGCCATATTCCTTAAATATTCTCTTGTCCCTAGTGTTCTCTCAACACTCCCCAGTATTCCTTTAATATTTCTCAATATTCCCCTAGTATGTTCCTAATATTCAAAATACTTCCTTAGTATTCCCTTAATGTTCGCCTAGCATTCCCCTTAGTATTCTCTATTCCTTTAGCATTATCTCACCCCTAGTAGTTGTATTCTGCTAGTATTCCCCTAGTATTGTCCTAGTAGTCCTTAGTATTTTCTTGGAATACCCCCAGCATTCTCCCAATATTCCCCCCAGTAACCCCAGCATTCCTTAGTATTTGCTCAGTTTATTTGTAGTATTCTCTCCCAGTATTCCCCTAGTATTCTCCTAGCATTTCCTCTTGTTATTCCCCCGGTATTCCCTTATTATCCCCTCGGTGTTTCCCTAATTCTTTGCTACTCAGAAACTGGAGCGCAGATGCAGGATACCAGGGGAAGTACAAAGGGGAATGCTGGGGCAATACTAGGGGAATATTTGGAGAATACTAGGGGCATACCCAGAATTTACTAAGGAACACTGAATAATATTAGGGGAATACAATTCTAGGTAATGCTAAAGAAATACTATTAGGGGAATACTAGGGGAATACAACTCTAGTGGTAAAATAATTCTAAAGGAATAGGGGCCTATTCGAGCAATAGTAAGGGGAGTGCTAGGGGAATATTAAGGGAACACTAGTGAATACTATGAAAATGCTAGGATAATACAGACTACTTGAGGAATGTTAAGGGAATCTCGGAAAACACTGAGGAAATACCAGAGGGTACACCAAGAGAATACTAGAGGAATAGTAGGGGAATACTGAGGGGGATACAGGGGGTCTGGTAGGGAATTACCAAGAAGCTGCTAAGGGGAAGATTGAAGGAATATTTGGGGAACACTTGAACACAGAGAAAATTTGGGGCATACAAGAAAATACAAAAGGAGTTAGGGGAATACCAGGAGAATACAGAGAATATTATGAGGCAATATGCGTGGAATATTCGGGGAGTACCAGGGAATGATAAGGATAATACTAGGGGTATAGTAAGGGAGTACTAGGGAAGCACAAAGGGTGAATACTCGAGAAACAAAAGGGGAGTACTAAGCAAACACTTGGGAACAGCTACTAGGGGAACACCGAGGAGATAGAGGGTGCAACAAGAGAGAACTAAAGGAGTTTTTTGGGAATACCGAGAGCATGATAGAGGACTACTGGGGCAACACAGATTACCAGGAGAATGCTAGTGAACTACAAAGAAAACTATTGGGGAACATTAGGGGAACACTGAGCGAATATTGGGGGTATACTAAGAAAATAACAAAGGCACACTGGGGTACTGCTAGGGACATAATTACTAGGAGGGTGCTAATTAGGGGAATACTGGGGGAATTCTGAGGATCTTTTAGGGGGATACTAAGGGAATAGCAAGCAAATCTTTGGAGAACACTGATTGCCAGAAAGCAGGGAGAGGAAAGATGCCTGCAGTGGGTGGCCTTCTCCAAAAATCACCAAAGACCGCATGTGCAAGAAAGGTGCATCCACATACGCCAAGGTGTAAAAAATGCTGATTTCCAAAACACAGGCCCCATGGCGGGCCGCTCTCTTTCATTCGTCGGTTCCTTCCATTCCTTCCCTAGGCATTTCGCAGCGCTCGCCGGGGTTCTTCGTCAGGCGGACTTCCAGCAGCCCGGGCACGCGATCTGCGGGCCCGACAGCCGCGGGGCCGGCCGCTTCTGGCGCCTCGAGGTGCGGCTTTGGGGCGCGAGGTATGAGGGAGGTATGAGGGGGGGGCGGATGTCCAAAGTGGGGGGGGGGGGGGTTTTCGCCACTTGCTGGGCGCGAGGGTGGGGGGAGGAGGTGGGGGCGGGTGAGATGTCAAAAGGAGGGGGGGTGAGGGGAAAGAAACACCTGAGCCACTTGCTCAAAGCCGAGTCGGGTAGATGAAGGTTTGATTGTGGTTCGCTTTGTTTCAAGAAGCCTCCCACATATTCTTTGATCATACCCCAACTCCCTTGAAGATTCCTTGCAGAAGGGGTCTATCCTAAGGTCTGGAGCTTCGTTTCATGGTTTGAAAACAAGCTTCCCGAGTGGGAGACTTAGGCATCCAGTTTAGTGGACGGGCTTGGTTGATCCGCATCAGAGGCGTTTGCACCGAAAACCCGGTGGCGGGAAACACGTGCAACTCGGTGCGTCCTGGAGTTTTCGTGCACCCCACCATGTCACCTTTCCAGGAATCGGACCCCGGAAAATGGATTTCGGTCTTCAATTTTGGTTTTCCTTTTGAGACAACCCAACAAGGGCACCACGTCTGAAAAAGACAGACCCACCAGTTTTGGTATGGGGGTTGAAAGGGAAAGTCATGGAGCCAACCAGTCGAATTAGATTAATTAGGCGATCTGAATGACTTCCATGTGCCTCACGTCCGATTTCCCTCTAGTTTTAAAGGGAATCTATCACTGGATTTTTTGGTTTGGGCTGTTCAAAGGCAATCCTTAGTCCTTGCCTTGGGCTATCTAAGGCGTCCCCTTTGTAGTGCCCATGTTGTTATTCTTTCCAGAAGACTTGAGCAGAAATAGAGGGGGAAGTAGAGTTTCTCTCTGATGCGCCTTCGAATCTGGGAGCTGAAGTAGAGGGGGAAGGGGTGATGCACGCTTGTTTTGAGCTGGACGCAAACGATGGATCGTGGACACGATGAAGGCCTTAAACCATATAGGGTATGTCCTTTCTTTTGGATGCATTAATGTGCATGTTACATTTTACCAGTGACTCAAAGTGAAGCAAACCTACTGGGCCTTGAAGTCGACGATGGCCAGAGCCGGGCTTTTTTTTTTTGGACCGGCGCGCTGGAGCTAAGCGGGAGTATCCAAAATAGCACAAGATTGGACTTTGTGCTTCTCTGGGTTCCTGTTACCCTTTTGCCCAGTGGATTCCGCCTCTTTTCTCGACATTTTTATCAGAAAGGGTTCCGATTCCTTTAAACTCGGCCAACCAGAAAAGGATGCCGATTCTTTTTTTCCCATGGCCGCTGGAACTGGGTGTTATAACCAAGCAACTGGGAGTTCTCCAAAATGACATGGCCATACTATGCCCGGGTCCGGACGTTGTGTCGTTTGGGTGTCCTTCATTCTCTAGCCAGCAAACCTGGGGGTCCAAGTCCGGCCAAGGCAGGCTTTTGAAAGGTTGTTTTTAAGCCTTTTGGAAGGTTGGAATATTTTTGGAAGGTTGAAAGGTTTTTGGAAGGTTGGAAGGTTGGAAGGTTTGAACGGTTGGAAGGTTGTTGGAGGTTGTTGGAAGGTTTTGGGAAGGTTTGGAAGGTTTGGAAGGTTTTTGGAAGGTGGTGAACCGGATATCCACCTCCAACTCGCCCTTTGGGTCCACCGACCAAGAGATAGTCACGTTTAGCAGGGGATCCGGAACGGACAGCCCAGTTTAGCGACTAGGCCACCTTCAGGGGTCCAGGAAGTCGGTCAAATCTACTTGGGTGTTTGGGGGCAAAGAAGCGGTACCTCGACCCTCGAACTAACCAAAATATCACACCAACCGCGGTTTTTGGGCTGCAAAAGCGGCCATGTTTCGTCGACTTGGTCTCAGGCATGTCAAAAGATCCGGCGGGAGTAGCTTTGGGTCCCCGGCTTGGCCGAACACTGCAAGGGAGTTCCCAGGGACCCATGACTTTCCATCGGGGGATGGGGTTTTTCATTGCTGAGAACTGGCTGGACTTGAGCGCCCGACCCCCCTTGAAAGGGCCCCAAATCTTCGGAGGTTCCTGTCTGGAGCTCAAAGAATACATAACGTTGACCCCATAAATGAATCAACCCCGGTTTATTAGTAGGGGGTGCTTCTCCCTGGAAGAAATGTGGGGAATCAAACCACTTTTGGAGGGGCACACCCGCCTATGCAATCCTTAGTACATCATTTTAGTATAACCACACGTCAACGGGTTTTGCGCGCTGCTCAATTGAACATCGGAAACTCCATCCGCCGACTGCAAACCCACATTCACCCTCCAACTTGTTCTTTTATGTACCGCCTATAACCTTCTTCGCCCTTTTGGAATTCGGCTGTTTCGCATGTTTTTGCAAGTCGGTTTTTGCATGTTTGGCCAGTTTGACTTTCACACGTCCACCCAACGCGGGTTTATCTTAAGCGGCTCCAAAAAGGTAGCTGTCTCCCTTTGGTTTTTCCTTAAGCTACACACCCCACGCAGGAATTTCCACCAAAACCTTGCGAGAGCGGACTCGTCGCGAGGAGAACCTGACTGTGGGCGACAAGGTTCGGGTGATACTGGAGGCTCGATCGATTGCCACCCAAGGGTCAGGGTGCTTAGTAAGTGGTTGGCAAACATGGTTATAACCCACGGAACGGAGACTTATAACCATGGCTTTTGTGGGTTAGAACCATGGTTATTGCCCAATTACTAAGTGCAATGCTCCTTTAAGCAGCTTCATCCTACCATGTTTTATGGAGGCTTTTGCTTGGGGGTTTTACGGGGCTCCCTAAGGCTCCCCGAAGGAAAAGGTACGGAATCTACCCCGAAACGGGCTCGCAACTACCCTACCCATGCTGCCCAAGTTTTTCCTTCATCGGACCCAACCAATTCCCTCGGTGTCCTTTTTGGGTTCCCTTTACAACCCCTTTCTTTCCCCGCAAAAGAGGGCACCCAAATATTGCACAGGGAGAAAGGAAGGATCCCAAACCAAAGCTTAGTACAAGCGCTCGGTTTGGAGCAGCTTGGGAGAACTCCGACCTTTCAGTTCTTGTCCCGAGATCCGGGCGAAAACCGAGTACGGCCAAGTTTCAGGTTCTACCAACCCAGACCTGCAGAAACCACCCATCAGAAGTATTGATATTGCAACCCAAAAGAATGCTCGGCGATTTCCTCTTCCTTTTTTTTTCAAGGGCAGTTTGAGGGTCCAGGAAGTTCAGTAGAGTAAGGCCTACATGAAAACTAAACCCCGCCAATTTTTGAGCATAGAACCCACAATCCGCTGGGGTGGGAAACCCACCCGCTTGGGCCTTTCGAAGGATCGGTGGCCAGATCCGCTCCGCAGGTCGATGGCGCTGCAATGCCCAAGAGCCTGCGATGGCAGCGCCCGTGACTTTTCGCGCGCGCGCTTTCGCTTCGACGCTTGGGGGTGGGGGTGGCAAAGGGCCGGTGACGTGGCGCCCGTTGGCTTGTGGCTGCCTGTCTGGGTTTGGGTCAAAATCGAGCCACCAAAACAACGCATACTCTAGTCCAGTTTTCCATGTACCAGGGTTCCATCTTGAGCACCTATTTTTGACCCACAGTCACAGCCATATGTCCCTTGCGGTTTAAACGTGAATGTTGACCTCGGATTAAGCAGAACCCCGGTTTATGAATATGGGTCCCGGTGCTTCTCCCCGGTTTGGGGATGACCACGTTTGCAGATCCCCCCGCGCCTCCAGAGGCAAATAAACAGGGGGTCTGCTTCATCCGGGGTCGACATTACCGGTTGCCACTTTTAAGATGAGCCTCGCAGGTTGTTTGATTGGGACAGGGAGCCGCTGTTTTAACGACCTGCCCCATCCGACACGGATTCGAAGTTGCCGGAGTTCTACAAAAGTGGTTCGATCGATATTTGGATCAGCCACGCTCCAGGCACTTGGACCCTCAAACTACCCAGAAAAATGGGTTATCGGCTCCTCATTCAAAGGTGGGTTTGAGGGTCCAGGTACATGGTTTACTACTTAAGAGCCGCGAGAGCGTGAAAGCCATGACGCCTTCACACGACAGAGAGCGGCTTGCGGACGGTCCTCAGATCTTATCCGTCCGGCTCCGGAGAGGAAAAAAAGGGCGGCGCCCGTCTATCAAAGGGTTTTGCAGGAAATGTTAGGAAATGGCCCCAAAACACCCGAAATCAGCAGTTTTCCTGTAGAATTTCCTCTATCCCCACCCTTTCAGTCTAAGCCACCGACGACGAGTGGTGTTGTAATTCGCGCGCGCGTCTGGCAAATTACAAGCTCGCATCGGGGAGAACCGTGGGTGTGTGTGTGCCCTGAAGTTCAAAGCATCGTTTTTGCAGAATGGGGTTCGTAGAACCACCAGAGGACTGTCACTATCCTTTTTGGGTCAACCTTTCTTTTCTTGGGGCTTGAACTCGGTGGAATAAAATGATGTGGGTGGGTGGGTTTCGTTTCGGTATGCCAGCAAAACCAAGCCCAAGGGTGGCCGCCAAAAAGGCGACCCAGTTGACTTGGCGTTTTTTCAGATTCCCTGCTAAAAGTTTAGCTTTGTGTGCAAAAAGGTTTGACTTTTTATAGGTTGAACCAAAAAACCCATTAAACCCTAAAAAGATCTAAAAAGCTGAACAGCTAAGACGCCAGAAGGATTGCTGGGAACCACCAAGTTGAGAGGCTTGGGCCTTTGATTGAACTTGCTTTAGCTGCCAGAGAAGAGAGGACTTCCAGGTCCGATCGACTGGGTGTGCGTGGAATGGTGGCATTTTGGCCAGGTCTCGTTCGGGCCCCGCCCAGTTTGTGCTGAGGACTCTTCGATCAGAACCGTTCCGCGAAAGCCAACCTGGCTTCCTGGGGCTTGGGGCCTTCCTCTGACCAGATCTTTGGTCCGCTCAGAACCCATTTTTCTGGGTTGGTGAAAGGGAAGCCAAAGGGAAACTGATGAAAGTTTTAGTCTCTCACTCACTTCCTGAGTTCCGTTCCGGACTTGATCGTCACTTTCTGGCTGCAAAGGAGCAGCTGGAAGTACCAGTCCCTTGGCTTTTTGGCCAACCCACTTTTCTTGACTGCTACTGGGCAACGAATCTTTGGCCTGAAGCTTTTTGCAGAGGGGTCCACAGCAACCAAGTCAGAGAAAAAAGCACCCGTTCCCAGTCCCTTGGCTCCCTCGCATGAACATCCGGAACATGGAACAGGGGTCCGTACCTCCGTTTCCAACTGGGGGTGCTCACGATTTGTGCCATGCTCATCTTGAGGAAGCAAGCAAGTTGGATCATGCCTCATGTTTGAATCAGCCCACGTGGGAGAGATTTTGGAGAGGGTCAAATGGGGCAAGTGCGAGTCGGTTTCTGCACAGGACACTCAAAGCAGCTAATGAAGGCTAGTAGAGGACAATCACAGCCGAAAAGGAGGGGAGGGGGGCAAGAAGCCCACTAGGATCGTGACATTGTTTACCAAAGGTGATTGAGCAGACCACGTTAATACATGTTAGGGACAGCACTAGTTGGGATGGACGAAACCCCCGTATGAATACGGGGACCAATCCCAGCTCCGGTTTTGCAGAGACCACTTTTTGGGCAGATCAATTGCTTGGTTTTGATATTGTCTCTCCGTAGCCCATTGTGGCTCAGTTTTTTGCTCTCGTTCGGGTCGCAAGAGCTCGAGAAAAATGGAGGCGCGATGGGAGGTGAGCCCTGCTAGGAGGCTTCAATAGCGTGTAGGGTGCTCACTCAATATTCCTGTGAGTTGCTTCTTTCCAAGGGTATCCCAATTTTGGGCTGGCTGAAAAGCAAAATCAAGAGGAGAACCGAAATCCATTTTGCGGGTCCTCCTATTTTACATACATACCCGTTTGGATTAGCAGTGGCGGGACAATGACTGAGACCCCAATGCCCAAGTCCATCTGACTGCTCACCTCTACATTAGGTTGAGCAATGCACTCGATCACTCGATCAAAGCAGCTAGAGTGCGTGAGGGAAGCTCGAAGTTCGCTGTGATCACCTCTTTGATCTTTCAACCCTCCTGTTTCAACGTTTCTATGATCTCATGCGAAATTACGCATTTCAACTTCCGTTTGCTCAAGATTCTTGTTTTGCCCTTTTTGGTTTCAAAGGGAATCTAGTACTACTGGACATGTTGTTTTAAACGTTTTCCAGGGGACGGACACGCGAATGGAAGTCAAAGTTCACTACAATACGGACCTAGATGCAGGCCTCAAGCCCAGCCCTGAGGCCCCCAGAGGCAGTCAATCGAACAAAGTGCTCGCAGAGTGCACCCCTGGCGCCCGGGGCGCCTTTTTTTTTTTGTTCGATGGACATGGTTTTGTTTGGAGAAGACGAACGAGCGCACACACATACAGACCTAGACCTACACTAACACATGAATTCTACGGCCTAAGCAAGTATAATTGGATTGCGGGCTACTTCAACTCCGCATTGAGTCATGATCACAGGGGACTACTGTGTGTAGTCATTTAGCCTCTTATACCTGATACATGGGATTCCTGAAAGTACGCATCCAACAACTCCAACAACCGCCTGCTTTCCCAGGCGACATAAGGCGACCTTTTAGATGAGCTTATCATAAAAAGGGGTATGATAGGTTTGAATTGGGGACACTTGGACATCAAAAAAAGGTTGGGTGTTTCCCTCTGGGAAGTTTAGGGCCTTGCATCCTTTTGCAGGCGCAACTTGGGAGTTTCTCTGGTGCCCGGCCCCGTTCGGGGAAATCTAAAGGAAGCCGAGAAAATGAATGGGGATCGCCCCATTTTGAGAAACACAAAAGCCTTTCTGTGGGTAGGTCAAGGGGACGTGGAGTGGGGGGGTGGGGTGGGGTGGGGTGGGGTGGGGTGGGGTGGGGTGGGGTGGGAAGCCCAAAGAAAGAAGAAGTCGTCTTCAATTTGCCGGTTGGACATGTGTCAAGAAAAGGGATTGCACACTGTGTCAAGGGATTGCACTCTACCGCTGTTGGGTTGGATCTTTAGACTTTAACTTTTTGGATTCCCTTCATATGTCCTTTTAACCAGCAAAAAGTTAAACTTTTTGCGGGGTTTAACTTTTTGCGGGGGGATTTACAGCACCCAAGTGCTCACCAAAATGGCGGTGTTGCTGTTGTTGCACTTTGAGGCCACCCAAAAAATGGCACTCAAGAAACAGAATTGCTTTGTTTGTCCCTGCCCTTGATGGGAAGGGATCTCAAAACATTTGAGCCAAAGATCAGCCACGTCAACCACGACAACATCTCCCAATAAGGGTCCCTGGATTACAAAGAGGTTTTTATCCAACAAATGAAGGATCTCCTTCTTGAATGGGACACCTCCATGCTCATCAGACTACGGCGGTTTACATGCATGAATTGGGCGCCCCAAAACCACTCGGGTTGCAGGATGCTACAGGCACACAGACACGCATTCTTGTGATTCGCAAGCGATCGGAACCAATTCGTGTATTGGAACCCGCCCAGGCCAGGTCCCTGACAGTTGGGTGAAAATAGATGGGACAACTCCAACCATATGTTTGGTTTGGTCATCCGCTTTGCATGGGCATGAACCAAATTTCATAGCGGAGCCACCGGACACACGCGGTGGCAGCAGCATCGATGAGAGGAGTGCCACTGGTGGGGATTCATGTTTTCCAACTGCCTTCAGTCTCCATGGCCCTCAAAGGATGGGTCCCTATATTTCCCTTTTTGGTGGTTTTTAAACATCGCCCTTTTTGGCCCATAGAAGGTGAGTGTTTTTTGGCGGGTGTGATGTTTTAAGGGGAAATCATAGGGAGCCCTCTGAAAGAAATGGGTCCCTTCGGGCTCCCGCAGGTCTCGGCGGAGGTCCTGGCGGCGCGCGAGAAGCTGAAGACGAAGTTCGAGCAGGCGCAACGGGTCATCTGTTCTCGACCAAAAGGGCACCTATGCGAATGAGGTTCGGTTACCTCAGTTGTTCAGTGGCACCAATCCTTTGTCCCAATTTGTTTTTAGGTGGCTGCCCCACTAAAAAATTGGTCTTCCAACCAAAAAGGGTTCCCACTTTTTTCCAGGGTCACTGAAGAACTGAGCTATGCGAATGAGGTTCGGTGAGTCACTTTTCGAGTTCCTGGACTTTGGAGCTTTGGAAGAAGACCATTTTCTTGCTGCTCGGAGGGAATGTGGGAATGAATTTAGGGGTCCCCAAGACAACCACCGCTTGGATGGTTTTTAGGGCTCGTTCCCTGTCCCTGAGCACCAGCGCCTCCACTCTCGGGAGGGACAGCAAACACAACAGCAGGTTGGTTTTCCTCTTGGTTTCCCTTCAAGCCAACCCAAAAACGGGGATTTGAACTCTGCCTCAGACATACTACACTCACTCCCCGAGTTCTATTTCGGTCTTAAAGTCACTTTTTGGGTTCAGTTGAAATTCAGTGGCTTTTTG